ATAAAGGCTTAGTCATGTCTCTTGACCAAGCAATGAGCTGGTGCCCTGACACAAGGGTAGATTTGTGATTGGGCCCAAAGTGCATTGTGTATGTTAATTTTCTGCTGTCGTAGTTGGTACAATGATGTTTGTTATGCAGCATGAAGATCTGTGTCAGGGTGGGATGCTTCAATGTTCCTTTAATCCTGATTACCAAGAGGAGAGGTACTGCACAAGATGCCGAAGATGTGTGTGTTATGGACAGGCACAAGTGCAAACATGATCCATGCTGAACTCCTTGCAGGGTATCATTTGGATTGTCTGGAGAATTACTTTCCCAACTTACTGACAAATGAGCATGCAAAGGGTGAGCTTCTGAACACACTGGCAACACAAAAACCAGGCAACTGGAATGGGGTTGATCTGTTGGATCTCTACCTCATGCAAGACAACATGACACTATTGGATGAGCTGGAATTGGAGACGATTCCTGACCCTTGCATGTTGCTGTGTTCAGACATGCCTGCTCTGGAAAGGTTGGCCTGTATGCTGCTTGCACAAGGGGGGGGATGGGGGCCAACTGGGATTGTTGCCACAGTGATCCATGTGAGGATTCTGGTCTGAATGGTAACCTGGGGTGGGGGTATCCTGATGAACTGGAGAGCATATGTGTGGAAAATGCATGGTGACATAGTTCCACCAAATGTGATGGAATTGTCAGGTGATGGTCCAGGGCAGATAGTAGCAATGAGATGCTTCTGCAGTGCTTGGTATATCATGTAGACATACAGACATGACATAGATGCAATCCACTAGGGGAGACATTATTAAACTCATGGACATGCATCTTTTCCGTTGTCACAGTTTGTTGCACAGGCTCAATGATGAGCACAGCAAGCCAAATGTACCAATCAATTGGACTACCATCATCTATTATGGGTCTACTTGGGTGTTGGGATGGAATGCATTGGTGGGTGAGCCACAATAGCTCACTGAGCTTGACGGACAATCAATGTAAGGCTCTTACAGGATATTTGGAGTTTATCAAAGGTGGTGCCAAGATGGTGAACAAGGCAGACAAAGTCAAGTCTAAAATAGTGCCCACAGTTGGTGGACTGCTCTATGAGCTCAATTACTTGTCTTACCAGCAGAAAGCAGAGGAAGGGGCTAATGTATGAAGAGAGGTTGGTGGCCTGGCTGGTTTGCCTGCATGACTGGTAACAAACATGTAGATTGGGATCAAATGAGTGCTTTGGTTCTGATGACTGCATTAATGATATTAATATATAATCTAATGTTGTCCTCGACCTGCCCATGGAAAGCTAGGATGTGATTGGTCAAACCCCACATGCTAGTGTTTGGTGCCATGATGGAGACATACACTACATGTAGTGTATGTAGTCAAAAGTGTACAACTAAGTGTAATGACGGAGACAAATTACTGCGCCACACGGAAGTACAACCGACGTTTTACTCTCCCCTCCGAGAGCACCGGACTTCAGGAACACAAAATCCGCGTCTACAATGGACGACCTCCTCCTCAGCCAAACGTTCTGCTTCCCTACGTCTCGTTCTTTGGCCATGGATGAAAAGGTTCATTACTTATCGGGGCCTTCTAACTCTGCCCCAAGAAGAACTATGTACGCGCAATCCTAGGAGCGGGGAACACGCCCAAGATTATGCTTTTCAAGTAGGGAAGGAGAGAAATCAGCTGGTGAATTCATCGCCCTTCCCGAGATGCTCTCGGTCCTCGGCATAATGTCCTGCCTTCCTTCAGATCCTTATCAGAGGCAAATGAGTTATTCACCGTCATGAGAGAAGCGCGCTATCAAATCACGTTCTAATCTTCTTTCTTTATGCTTGCAACAGAGGCGAAGGAGTCATGTACATACTATCATGACAGAAGCGCGGCATGTACTCCACGTTCAAGCGTCCTTCCTTATGCACCTCTTGTGACCTTGCTGCCCATACCGGACCTCGGCCCGGCCGCACTTCTTCCGAACGCCTGCCCCGCATCTGTATGTCCTGGATTCGGATCTTTGTCGGATCACAACATGAATACGCCCAGGCTTTCAAGTTATATGAAGAGCACGCAGCTCAACACCCATCCATCACCGCGCAATCCTCCCTGAACAGCAAGACTAACTCATGCCGCAAGTTGTACTCCCCAATCAGTCGAACTATAAAGGCGAAAAGCCGGTTGGAGCTGATAGGCCCAGCCCGCAACTTGCACTTGGCAAGGAAGATGAGCCACAGTGGCTTAAGGACTTCCAACGTGATGGGGTGAGTGCTTTCATTCTCTTGTCGAGATAAGGGCTGAACATGCTCATGGCCCGTGACAGTACGCCGTCGTCAAGGATGTCGTCTCCCGCGAGAAAGCGCTGAACTACTATGCGCCCGCCGGCGAAGACTGGCTCGAAGGTTTCAAGTTGGGTTACAATAGGGACGATCCGTCTACATGGGATGTCAAGAACCTGCCAAGGCACATCTTCGGCGGCCTGTACGGGCAGTACAGTTTCTCGCACGCCCAGTTCGTCTGGGACGCGAAGACGGAGCCGAAGATTGTCGAGCTGTTCGAAAGTTTATGGGGGACGAAGGAGCTTACAGTGTCTTTTGGTGAGCGGGGTTGCGATGGGGGTTGACGCAACTGATCGGTGCCAGATGGCGGAAGCCTCGCTGTTCCTCTCCCGTTCGATCAGGTGCAGATGAATGCGGAACCTTGGCCGCACTCAGACCAAAGTGCTTATCGCCCACAGCGTCATTGTGTCCAAGGCCTACCGAACATCGTAACTCTTCCTTTGCTTCATAACCGCCTAGCCTGATAGCGCCCCATAGCTCCCTAATGGACCCGATGACGGCGGTCTGACAGTACTCAAAGGCAGCGCAAACCTCTTCGAGCAATATTTCAAAGAAAAGATGCACCTCGAGCCACCGGAGAAATGGTCTACTCGGGACGGCTTCGCGTGGACAGAAGAGACGCTCAAATGGTTCTATGATCGAGGATGTGAATGGGTCAAGCCGGTCATGGAACCCGGACACTTTGTTATTTGGGATAGCAGGCAAGTGCATTATGGTGCCTTCCCGAGGAAACAGAACAAGCGGTTTGCTATCTGTGAGTCCCCTGCGCCTATACATGCTAGGCATGAGGTCTGACACCTCGCGCCATAGACATATGCTACAAGCCGATGGCTTTCCTTACTGAAGAGCAGAAGGCGCGCAAGATCGAAGCCTTCAACCGAGGTTACGTTACGACACACGATCCTTGCGATTTCATCGTCAAAAGCTATCAGGACGCCGAGTTGAACATCAATTTCCCCTATGGAAAGCCGGTGGTAAATGAACAGGGTCAGAAGGCGATTGGATTGATTCTTTACTGAATATCTTCTTCGAAAGAGGAGGGGAGAGGGATAGTGAGGCGTGTACTAGCAGAACTCCAATTGTATTTCATTTCGTTACAGGCAGTCCACCGCTTACTCGAGCTTTTATGAAAAGACGAAAGTCGAGAAGTCATGTTACTCGTCCTCATAAAACAAGTCTTGGCTCAAGTTTAGACATTCTGCCCTCGGCATAATATACTCCCTTCATCTTCAAAGTTCGATGCGCCGAAAGTCAATATCCGGGCGCTGACACTAATCGTCAGAGCCCCGATATTACAGACCGGACCACGCCCTTCATCCACTTCCGGAGCTCGGCCCGACCCCACCTGTTCGGCAGGCCAACCCCGCGCCGTCCGGACCTCCGCTTCTCCAAAGCACAGATATCCCCCGGATTCGGGCCATTGGATTGCAGTTTAATGAATGCCTCTGGACTCCTCCACACTGAGTCTGCGGGTTGACACCCAACTACCACCTGCCTATCTACACCGGCCAATACCCGCATCAATTCGTCATGCCCCAGGTTGTGCTACCCGACCAGTCGAACTATAAGGGCGCGAAGCCTGTTGGAGCTGAGAGACCTAGCCCGCAACTCGCAACTGGAAAGGAAGATGAACCGCAGTGGCTCAAGGACTTTCAACGTGATGGGGTGCGTCTCTCTTGTCTCCCATCTCGGGTACACCTTGCTCACCCTAGAGACAGTACGTCGTCAACAAAGATGTCGTCTCTCGGGAGAAAGCTTTGAACTATTACGCTCCGGCGGGAGAGGACTGGCTCGAAGGCTTCAAGTTGGGTTACAAGAGGGACGATCCCTCTACATGGGACGTCAAGAACCTCCCGAGGCATATCTTCGGCGGCCTGTACGGCCAGTACAGTTTCTCGCACGCCCAGTTCGTATGGGACGCAAAGACGGAGCCGAACATCGTCGAGCTGTTCGAGAAGCTGTGGGGGACGAAGGAGCTTACTGTCTCCTTCGGTGAGTAGGACACTAGTTGAAAGGCCCGGAGCTGACCAGTGGGCAGATGGAGGTAGCCTAGCCGTGCCCTTGCCGCTTGATCAGGTGGAGGGACACGCCGCGCCCTGGCCGCATTCGGACCAGAGCGCCTACCGCCCACAAAGGCATTGTGTCCAAGGCCTGCTAAACATCGTCAGTCCCCTCCCCTCGTCCCAGTTCTGTACCCTCTTAACCCCCTACTCACTTGCCCCCAGCTGCCAAACGGACCCGAAGACGGCGGGTTGATGGTGCTCAAAGGCAGCGCCCTGCTCTTCGAGCGGTATTTCCAGGAACACAAGCACCTCGAGTCCCCCGACAAGTGGCTGATTAGGGACGGCTACTTCTGGGACGAAGCTGAGCTTAAGTGGTTTTATGACCGCGGGTGTGAGTGGGTGAAGCCTGCTATGGACCCGGGGGATTTCGTACTCTGGGATAGCAGGCAGGTGCACTATGGTGCGTTTCCGAAGAAGCAGAATAAACGGTTTGCGATCTGTACGTTTCTTTCCTCTTGTCTTCGGCGCTAGTGTGCTGAACCTGGATGCTTAGACATCTGCTACAAGCCGATGGCGTTCATGACCGAAGAACAGAAGGAGCGCAAGATCGAAGCGTTCAACCGCGGGTACTGTACGACACACGACCCGTGCGACTTTTTGGTCAAGAGCAACCAGGAGGCAGAGTGGAACGTCAATTTCCCTTATGCGAAGCCGGTGATTAACGAGCAGGGGCAGAAGGCGATTGGGCTGATTCCGTACTGATGGGTTCTGGAGGCCAGGAGGGGAGGGGTTAGGAGTTGGGGGACGTGTCGTGTCGTGTAATGATAGGATTGGGAATGTATGCTTCTTTTGGTTTCTTGAGAGCTGAGAGGCTCTGCGTTTCTCTTTTTTGGAGGTGGAGTGCCAGTTATGAACGTGCCCCACTCCTCGTGACTGTTGTAACATGAGCGAAGGCATGTGACGAGGCAGAGTACTTGCGGACCGGACCAGGCGATCACGGAGCGCAGGGCTGGCTGAATATATCCTGATGCAGCAGGCAGGCCGTGGAGCGCCAGTCGTCGTCCTCAGGCACCATTTGGGCAGGGTTTTCCCACTAGCAGAACTGATGCCAGTGAAACGGTCTGCCAGATTGTCAGACACTCCAGGACAGAAAAGAGACGCGCCTTGTTGTCTAGCATGACATGGCACTGGAAGGACGAGGACATGGTTTGACATCCTAGGATACACGTCCAAGTGTCGAGTGACAGTGTTTGTGAGAAAACATGCAGGATCCATCGATGTGAGGGTGTTCCTGCTGTACGGGGTCTTGTCATTTAGTGAGAGGATGGAAGGATGTCAGTGTCGGGAGTGGAAGCGCGATGAGACGATACCACAAGCGCAATCCCACCTCAGGAGGATTTGACAGGATGGTGTTCTCATTAGATGGCGGTGAAGACCAAAGAGATATGCTACATTCAAGCTGGGACGCGGTACAGATAATCCCAACCCATCGTATCTGCACCCAGTCAGCTGTATGCCGCATCCAAGTTCGCACCACACAACCTTTGCCTTCACTTAGAGAGCCTTCCCGTCATCTTCTTATTCCTCTCGCTCTCCTTCTCACCCCACTCCTCGCTCATCTCGTCCAACCACCCCATTGCCCCTTCCCTAAACAGCTCTCCCTGCAGCTCCACCCCCTCCTCCGCCTGCCCAACCCTCGCAAACCGCCGCTTGAACCTCCCCATCCTGCCCTGCTCATCCTCCTCCCCCGCACGGACGTATGTCTCCCCAGGCCAGTAGAGCGCGTTATTATGTATATCCCTGGCCATCTTGTATGTTGACTGGGGGGAAGTGGACCAGTGGGTGAAGCTGCTCCCGTCGGAGGAGATGACGGTTTGAGGGTAGAGGGCGACGACGGGCGGTGGGAGTGGGAGTGTGAACTTGGGTGGGATGTGCGTGCGCCCATAGGGTGAGTTGGACCGCCATCGTCTTGCACCGACTTGTGACTGCCTGGGTGGTGCCAACAGTCGCTTGGTCGAGGAGATGAGCGATGGTCGTGTGAGCATTGTGTGAAGTGTCAAAGTGAAATGTTCACTGAAAATGCAAGTTGAGCGGGAGCAATTCCCTTGTGCCTTTGGGTTAATCGCCGTCTATCCGCAGCGTTACTCTTTCACCGTTCACTCTTCAGCCAACAGTCTGCTCTTTTGTTTGTTACTTAGAATTGAGTAAAGTAATGGCTACACACTCGCCATTCGTACGCTCTCCGTTTGGGGAGACCACGAACCTCTCCTACAGAGAACAAACGGTGCGCTCACTCCTATCCTCACCGCATGGACGCTGACAGGTACCTCGGGGTGCGGCGTGCGCTGTGCAATAGATCGAGGAGATGTACTCTGTGCCGGAGAGCTTTTTGGAAATCGAGGTTAGGAACCCGCAGACCCACGGCGTAGGACGCAAGATGTACACGGATTATGAGATCGTTTGTAAGGTGCCACACTGCACTGCATGCCCAAGTACAGGACTCTGCTGACACGAGAGCAGACAAACATCCCCGCCTTCAAACTGCGGCACTCGATCGTTCGCCGGCGGTACAGCGACTTTGAAGCGTTTCGTGACATCCTCGAGCGGGAATCGACACGGGTGAACATCCCCCCTCTCCCGGGGAAGGTGTTTACCAACCGGTTCTCGGACGAAGTCATCGAGCAGCGACGGGAAGGACTGGAGAGGTTCTTGAGCATCGTTGCTGGGCATCCGCTTTTGCAGGTGGGTGGAACTGCTTTCTCGTGCTCAGGTCAGGGAGGCTCATCGCGTGTAGACGGGAAGCAAGGTGCTGGGCGCGTTCTTGCAGGATCCGAGCTGGGACAAGTCCCAATCGATGTGAACGATCCGCGTACCCGAGGGATCACCTGCATCCCTTAAGAGGGGAGGTTGGCTGTGTTCCCCTACTATTGACGTCCTGTTGCAGCTTCACTTGTTTTATCCCGACCTCATTGTATATCACGTTCTGTTACGTCGTTCTATGGAATCAATCTTCAATCGTTGTACTCTATTGTCCGTGTCGTTCCACGCAGGATCCGTGCAGTGCAGCCTCATAATTTTACACTAATGACACAGGATGAAGATGATCAGCAGTGTATCCTGTGAGCGTAGACCAATAAGCAGTACCATCGGGTATACAATCATCGGAGATTACGCGTGGTCTGAGTTAAGTGCACCGCCCCTAAATGGATTCGATGGGTCTGACACGCACGTGCCTTATACTATTTTGTACAGGGCCGGCACTTGATTCCGCTGTCGGCGTTCCCGGTCTGCGCCGTTCGGACGTCATGCAACGCCGCTGACTTTTCAGTCCCCTTCTCTCCTCTCTCTTCTCTTTCCTCAACGTCCTCCTCAACGTCCTCAACGTCCTCCTCCTCCTCCTCGCCGTCCAGCACATAAACAGCAACCAGCATACATTAGCTGGCTGTCGTGATTGTTGCTTGCCCACCGCGTTCTTAATCACCTCTCACTCCCTTTCTCCATTCATAAATGGCCCATCTTATGCCATCAGGAAAGTGGGACGCCCGGTACGTTCAACACGCTATTTAACCCCCATTAAACCGCTGACCGCACCTCCTGTAGGAACCTCGGGCCCGTACCCCACGACTCGATCTACTACGCCAAGTGCATGCTCGGCGGTGCCCTTGCTTGCGGTCTCACCCATGCCTCTATCACCCCGCTCGACGTCACCAAATGCAACATGCAGGTATGTCCATGCGGCCAAAATCCCTTACATATGCTGACCACGCCGAAAGGTCGACCCGGCCAAGTACCGCGGTCTTACCTCGGGCCTCAGCCTCATCATGCGCGAGCAGGGCGCAGGCGCTATCTGGAAGGGTGTCACCCCGACGCTGATTGGCTATTCCCTCCAGGGGATGTTCAAGTACGGTCTGTATGAGACATTCAAGGATGCCTACATGAACCTCGCTGGCGAGGAGGGTACGGCCAAGTACAAGCAGCTCATCTGGCTCGCCGGTTCCGCCTCTGCCGAGGTGTTCGCTGATATCGCTCTCTGCCCCTTCGAGATGACCAAGGTTAAGATGCAGACTTCTCCCCATGGTACTTTCCCCACCCAGTTCGGCACTGCATGGGCAACGATGCGTGCCCAGTCTGCAACCACCCGTTTCCCGTTCGGCTCCATCGTCCCACTCTGGTCTCGTCAGGTGCGTTTCATTTTCTGCACAGCCGCATCAAACGCTGATGGCCGTTCTTGATAGATCCCGTACACGATGGCCAAGTTCTACTTCTTCGAGCGCATCGTCCAGGCCTTCTATGACAACATCTTCACCGCACCCAAGTCGACGTACAGCAAGCAGACCCAGCTCGGCGTTACCTTCGCTTCCGGTTACCTTGCCGGTGTGATCTGCGCCATCGTCTCCCACCCGGCTGACACGCTCGTCTCCCTCATGGGCAAGGACGCGAACAAGGGCAAGAGCGTCGGCACGATCGCGAGCGAGACTGGTATCCTCAACCTGTGCACCAAGGGCCTCGGCACCCGTGTGCTCATGATCGGTACCCTCACCGGCTTCCAGTGGTGGATCTACGACTCGTTCAAGACGGCCATGGGCATGGGCACGACCGGTGGCAAATAATCGCATCGCCTCCAATGCAGATAGCGGCATGTGGTGCTCCCCTTCCCCCTCACCAAAACTCACGACATGTCCCCCTCACGTCCAAACCTAACAATAGCGATCTAGTCCTAACGTCTTAGCCCTTAGTCCCTGTTCGCTGGTTTCTCCCCTTCCTGCACACCGCACACCGCACACCGTACCCCCGCATGCGCGAACTGGTCATGTTTGTTTTTCTCTCCAAAATCCTAGTCCTGTAGCTTTTTTCTTTAAACTCGATAGACTTCGTTGTTCCTGAATATATCTGTTCACGGCCATTGGTGAGGAGAGTCAATGAGTGAAAGTGATGGTGGACAGTGCTTCGCGCAGTATCATATACGTGGTCAAGCTATTCATGGTGCACTAATGGTGCATCTGATGTCAGGCTTCTGGACAAGATCAGCTCATTTCCCACGCCACAAGAACCGTCCCAACTCCTCCAAATGTCGCTGTACCTGCCCTCCCTGCCCAACAGCCTCCCACACCCTCCCCCTCACTCTCAGTGCGTTCTCCCTCTTCCTCCTCCCCTCTTCCCCTCTACACATCCCCAGCACCTCCCTCACTTCCCTACGCACCGCCTCCCTCGTTCCCTCCACATTTAGCCCTCCAGCCCTGTACGCCAGGCCCTTCACAGGCCCCTCCCTCACTTGCAGGAACTCGAACGCCACGTCGAGCACTTGACTCAGCCAGAGAGCGTGCGCTGGTTGATCCCAGAAGAGAGGCCAGGCGAGGAGAGGCACTCCCCGGGTAAGGCACTCGGACATCCCCCCGCTGCCGCAGTGGGTTAACATCCATCCTAGTGCCTTTTGTCCGGGTTACAGTACCTGGTTAGCTGGGTTGCAGATGGGGTAGGGGAGGGAGGGGGGACGTACGGGATGCGCGGGAACAGCTTGTTGCGGTGCCCAGTGGACGATTATCCCTCTCCCGCTTTGGTCCACTTCTTCCTTCAGAGAGGGGGGGAGGACTGCGTCCCAAGACGAAGCTGCGAAGACGAAGGGCATCAGTTGGTCTTGTTCTAGCAGGGCGTGGATGAGCACGTCGATGTACTTTTGCGGAAAGAGGAGGGAGCCCCAGGAGATGTAGAGCGCGCTTTGGGGACCGTGGGCTTGCAGTGCCGCGTCCAGGAAGGTGATGCATGGGTTGGCCGAGTTGGCAGAGTTGGAGCAGGACGAGTGAAGGTGGAGTGCGTCGTAGGCTACTTCGGTACTGCCGAAGGAAGCGGTGGTGTGCTGGGATAGAGGCCCGAAGTAACTTGGCGGCAGGTGGGGACCGACGCAGAGCACCTTGCGGTCTTCTCTGTTGGAATCGTGGATGTACCAGCTTTCTAGACCTTGGACTGCTTCTTTTTCCTAGTTCATGTCAGCTGGATCTTTGTGAGGGAATCTTGGATACTTACTAGGTCTAGAATGGTCGGTAGGATCAGCCCGTCTGTGACTTGCAGCAGTGGGTAACCTGCTGCGAGAGAGTCGTAGCTCCATGGCAGCCAGTTACACTGCGGGGTGTCTTCCCGGGGGTAGATAGGAGGAAGGCCTTGGAGGTGTACCAATCCGTCTTCAGAGGGGGACAAGCGTGCCCACACCTGCACGTAAGGCGTCAGCGGAGAGAAAACCAATGAATGGATCTGGGCAAGAAGGACTATATGCGTACCTCGAGAGCGATCTGAGCGAACGGTTTCCCTTCGCTCTTGCTCGGGTCTGCTTCGATCTCGGGGCATGCGGCGATGTACTTGGGTGGATCACGCCCGCCTTTCTCGGCCGGCCCGAACAATCTGCTCGAATAATCATCAAAGGGAAGAGGGGGAAGATGGAGATAGTCATACCTAGTGAAAGAAGCGGCAGAACCAACATAGTACATGTACAGTTTTATATCCCACTTGCGTTTGATCTCGGTGCATACATGTCCCATGAGCACATCGGTGATGACGAACGTTGGCTTTCCCGCGGGTGTGGGATCCCACAGCTGGCCAGCGTCGTCCGTGAACGACAACTCGTTCATGAGCGCATCGAATGCGGCGTGAAAGCGGGGAATATCGACGACACGTGTGGCCAGGACGTCGCGTGGGTCGAGCGTGGCGAGGAGGGGGATTATCTCAGGAGTGAAGCCTTCCATGAGCCGACCGAGGGAGACGATCCGGATGCGAGAGAGGAGGGAGGACTCGTCGGAGATGGAGACGTTGCGCTCCATTTCAGAGCGAGACTTGTGGACATGCTCAGCATCGACGATACATGCTACAAGGGGTTAGGCCACGGTAGAGGGATAGGGATAGATGAGAGGTACATACTGATTGTAACGTCGGGGAACTTGCGAACTAGATTAACAGAGATTCGATTCTGGTCGGAGATGGCCTGCGTGCTGAACTGTTAGACACTGTTAGAAGAGAGTAATAGATGACATACCCCAAGCAGGGCAAGTAAAGACTACCCAGTGAGCAGGCATGTTGTTCGAGTTATTTGACATAGATCGACAGTCACCAGAGGGCGAAGGATTCATCTGTAAATGCTACGCTGTGTGGGACAGCATGCTGGTTATAAGGCACAGTGGGAGTCGGAGAATGAGATCTTTCTCGAGAGGACATTGTCGTCAGTTAATCGATCCAGAAAGCATCCAACCGCAGAAAGATGTTACGATGCTATATGCTCATCGTGCGAACCGCAGCTCGAAACTTGCGTATTTGGGAGATTTGGATGTCAAATTTGTCGCATACGTAAACATGGACAAACTGTTCGCTTCCCATCCAGTACCAGATATACCCACCAATACTAGTGTTAGTTTATCTCTCCCAGTTTCTTGTAAGTTTGATCCATTAAAGGCAGCCAAGTGTGTATGATGATCCGTAGAGAATGACTGCCCTCGATGAGAATGCGCTTGACACTCCGAAGGAAGCAGATCTTCCATCTGTCAACGACCATCCGTACACTTGTCTACCGAGACCACGACAATCTTGTCTTCATCGCTTTCTGACTCTGGCGTATTTGGTGCTGCATTTATCTGTCGACGTTCACCGCCGGGTCCTTGACTGTTAATGATGAACCTTGCTCGTACCCTCGCATCAGTTCCGACATACTATCACGATGGTGTGGCGACGGTGCTGTTCTCAAATTCTGATCGAGAAATGAATACTGTCAATCTATCCAAGTGTATGTACCGGTCAACGCCGAACGACTTACCTAATGGAGCACATTGTGTTCCAAATATGTATTGCTTACCGGATGTTTCAGTTATGTATTACGCGTCCCTGGGAAACGCAAGTACGGCATATCAGAGAGAAAGTGTGGCCACCGAACTTCCTATTATGCATCAGATACCAAACGGCAGTCACTTCTACATGTAGCTCCTTTGGAGGCAGTCCTCCTTTGGAAGACAGACGCATTTCCCCGTGTCGCCGACTGGGTTTATACATTTCTCTCTGACTGCCTATGCTGGGTGATCCGGGCTAGTTCTGTTCTTGCCCGTGCAAGGCATGAGTAAAGCGGACTGGTTTGAATGAACTCGGCCGTCTTTGTCACGACCCTGTATTTTCTCGATCTATTGGAGCGCAGGCTCAGAGCGGGCTTGTGGGGTCCGTTGTGAACCGGTCTGAAAACAGGATACCCGGCGCTATAAGAGCACGCCGATTGGCGCCAGGGATTGTCCCACAATATCCCGATCTTGATATCCCACAGAATGACCGCTCATATCATCATCCTTACCTTTGTCGGATGGGGTATACGCGTACTTTGTCCCGGATTCTGGTACAGACTGACGTGACTTTCAGGTCACATGCGGCCAGAATGCAATTTTGCTGTTAACTTGGCTCGCAAGTATCCCGACCTCACAATCTGTCAGTTGCTCTGATCGCCGGGATTTCTGCCGAACCTGACATAGGTACTCCCCTGCAGCTTTGATCGCCGATGCTGATCTCCAAGGGAAGGCACAAGCCGAAGTAAACTGCGGTGCGGGGGAGCTTGGCACAGAGCTCGCTCAACGCATCCGTGTCATTGCCGCCGGCCGTTCTCTTGCTGGGCTCACACCCCAGCTACTCCTCGAGTCTGCTGCTCTGAATCCAAAGGAGTTCCACTTTCCATTGCCTGCTGCTTCGGAGGCCATCTTGCGCATCTGTGAGAAAGTCATGGAGGACAAGGAGGTTACGGACGACAACGGCCTCTCCTGGCCTGCCGTGGGCCAGAAGCCGAGCTTGGTCATCGCTGACATGTTTATGACGGACGCGTCGGTTCCCCTGAAGAAAAAGTATGGGATTAAGACCTACTTTTTCTGGGTAGGCCATCCTGCGGGATTTACACGTCTCCATGCCCCGCTGGCCCATGGCGGCCAAGCGGAGGGATACGTCGCGGAATGTGACGCAATTGAGGCAGATCCGAAGCGGGCCAACGGTCGTTCCTATGCCGAGATCGCAAAGCAGGTGAGCTGTGAAATTACTAGCTTCAGCACCCAAAGACTAATCCTTTTGGAGGTCTGGGCTCACTCTGGACGGTACCCAGATGACGTGGTGAGAGTGAAGGGTTTCGAGCCGTATTATGAGTGGGAAGATTATCCACAAGAGTTCTGGCAACCGGGCATGTTCTGGTCGATCGCTGGCACAAGTGAGCTCGTCGAGGCGTCGGACGGTTTGGTGGTTCCAATGGTGCACGATATCGTAAGTCACCCCAAGAAGTCATCTATTCATGCTGAAGTGAGAAATCAGGCACCTGACGGATACGAGGGAATCAAGGAATGGTACAGCGCCGAACGCTCGCGGCCTGTCCTCTTCGTAGGTCCGCAGCTCATGCCTTCCTATATGGACTACGAAAGGACTGGTTTCCCCAACACCGCGTCGGTAGTCGGCACTGAGGTGGGAGCCTCTTTCAAGGGGCTCGGTGACAATACGAGCGAGGGCGACAAAACCTGTCTTGCCTTCCTGGATAAGGCCCTCACTCAGCGTGGGCCTGATAGCGCCTTGTACATGTCCTTCGGAACGTTGATGTATCCCGATCTAGAGCACATCCGGTACCTTCTCGAAGTCCTGATGTCGCTCGAGGAGCCGATTCCGTTTATCTTTGCTACGGCGGGAATGCGCCCCATTGTTTCCGACGAAATGGCGAAGAAGGTCAATGAAAGCGGCAGGGGGCTAATTGTCCCGTGGGCACCCCAACAAGCGATATTCCTTCATCCTGTAAGCCAGTCTTTTTCCCCTGTTACACTCTGCTCACCTGCACATTAAGGCAACGGGCTGGGCTCTCTCCCACTGTGGCGCGGGTGCAATGTACGAGAGCCTATGTCAAAGTGTGCCCCTGATCGCTTGGCCGATCGCCGTCGATCAGCCTCAGCACGCACGCTGGATGAGCGAAACGCTGGATACTGCATTCGAGTTGCTTCAAGTACGGGTCGGCCTCGGACAGAAGAAGGCCTTCCGCGGAGGTCCCGAAGGCACAGAGATCGTGGGCACTGAAGAAGCGATCAAGGCGGAAATTAGAGACGTGTTGAAGAGATGCAAGAGTGAGGAGGGCCACAGAAAGAGAGCGAACGCAAAACGCGTCAAGCAGCAGATAAAGGAGGCCAGAACAGCTGGAGGTCAAATTGATCAACACTATGAGCTGCTCCGACAAGCAATTGTGGTGTAGATCCGATATTCCGGTTCTGGTTCAGGCGCATATATTGACGAATTTAGAGCATCATTGAAATAAAATGGCAGTCTCCATTGTAGTTTCAGCACGACCCTATTAGGTCCTGCAAACTCTGCAGTTCAGCATTCTTCCTGTCTTGGCAAGGTGCTGGAGCTTCTGCGGCGGTGTCACTAGAGTCTGCAAGTCTAGTAAATTGCACAGAGAGTATCATTGGAAGACTTTGTTATGCGATCAGACCAATGCACAACTGAGGTTCAAAGGGTAACGACAGTGTCTTATCTATCACGTGCTGGAGATTAGACTTCTCACAGCCACATACCCTTTGCCCGATGTGGACGGTGCCGTACACGGCAAAGGCTCATTCATTCGTTTTCACAGCACAAAGTTCTCATTGGATCAGACGAAACTTATGCTTCTACTACCTATGGTTGTTCACACGCCTATGCTTGTATTGCCAGCTGGTTCTGATTCTGGTGACGTGCCCTGAGGCTGGATTTTCTGCCGGTGGGGACGATCTTGACTTCCTCTACTTTCCTCCACTCGAAAAGGATTACCAGGGTGCTGGAAAGGACAACCCATTTCAGTTGGCTATATTTCCCTATGCCGGTCCATTGGGTTATTGTGTCATTCTGGGCGTGGGGTGAGTCTGTTTGCGAACGGTCCATACCAGTGATCACTGATTCCTTTTCAGGTCATTTGCGGCCAGAGAGCAACCTCGCCGTCAATCTCGCAAGCAAATTTCCCGAGCTTATCATTTGTGTGTCAATTGTCATACATTTGCTTCATTCGCTTATATCAACTTTGAAGCGTTCATCGTCGATGCCGAAGTTGCGCAGAAATGTAGAGACGAGATGGCACGTTATGCATTTCTGGGCGGAGATGAGCGTGTCCTTTCCCCGGTTCGCGTCATCGCCCTCGGTCACGTCCCGGCAGGCATGACACCCGAGATCGAAAAGCGATACGCAATGATGGATCCTCGTCGTGTGCCTAAATCTCGCCAAGTAGCGGAGATGCGCATACATGAAGCGGTCGATTCGATGATGCGGATACGGCCGTTCCAGGACGACAACGGCACCACTTGGACCCCAGTTCCTGCGAAACCGAATCTTCTTATATGTGATGTCTTGATGGGTAATGTCGGACCTCAGCTGAAGCGGAAGCACTCGTTACCGTTATACATCTACTTCGTTGGATCCGCTACGTGCTTCACGAGGTAGGTGATCGATCAGCAAGTCTTCCCGACAGTGCGCGCTGATCCTTGCCCCAGGATGTATGCGCCTACAAAGCTTGGTGGACGATGTATAGGTTATGAGGACGAGTGTCGGGAGATCGAACGCGATCCGCGACGATGTGTGGGATGGCCATTCAGCAAGGTTGCCCAGCATGTGAGCTTCACAACTCGTACTGTGCCTCTGTGTGACCATCGGAATAGGTCTGGGCAAGGTCAGCGAAGTTCGAGGACAACCTCATTAGAACTAAAGGACTCCCTCCGATGTATCAATGGGAAGATTTACCTCAGGCTGCCTGGTTCCCATCCTTCTACGACGTTGCGGTAACTGGCCTTCATCTGGTTCAGTGTTCGGATGGCGTGATTTTGCCCACTGTTCTCAGCATTGTTCGTACCTCATCCCGCAATGCTGCTACTGCTACCGTACTGACATTTAGATCAGGAGCGAGAAGGCGTCCAGGGTGTTGCCGATTGGTACTGTGCGGGGAATGAGCGGCAGGTGTTATGTCTTGGCCCGCAACTGCCACCGTTGATTTTCACGCCGGCTTCTATCGCCAAAAGCCATACCCTTGCCGCAATCGAAGTACAGACTAGCTATGCCGGCCCTGCACTGTTCTTGAACGATCTTGAAACAAGAGGAAACGACTCAAAGGACGGGCATTTGGACACATACAAGAGCAAGGACCCATGTATGGTGTTCCTGAATGAAGTGCGGAAAAAGTACGGTGAACACCGAGCTATCTACATCTCTTTCGGAACCACGTTCTTTCCGGAACCAGCCCACCTGGCTATCTTCCTCGAGTTGATCCTCGCGTTGGAGCCGCCAATGCCGATCATAATGGCTGCAGCCTCTCCGCTGGCTTTCCTACCAGCTGACCTAGTTCAGCGGATGCAGAGCTGCGGGCAGGGGCTTATAGTACCATATGCACCGCAGCAGGCCATTCTTGCTCATCCCGTACGTTCTCTTGCTGGAGATAACCCATCCATCTGACTTTTGACCAGGCCCTCGGGTTCATGGTCACGCACTGTGGTGCAGGTGGAACATTCGAGGCACTCTCCCAGGGCGTGCCAGTTATTGCATGGCCGTTCGTCGGAGATCAGCCCATCCACGCGCGATGGATGACGGAGGTGCTAGACACGGCATTTGAACTACTACAGGTCCGGAACGGACCCGTAAAGGGCAACGCATACCGCGGCGGCCCTGCAGGGACGACTCTTGAAGGGACTGAAGATACCATTCGAGAGGAGATGCGGAACATGCTAGCAGCGTGCCAAGGCCAGGAAGGGAAACGCAAGCGGGCGAACGCAGAGGAGGTGCGGAAGAAGATCCGGAGTTCTCTACGGCCTGGCGGACAGATGGATCGTCATCTTGCTGTACTCAAGTCGTTGTTTGTAGACCCGCCTCCTAGAGCGGCTTTGTGAATGGATCGGTGCTTTCTCACACAATCATCTTCCACCCTTGCCTAGCCCGTAAAGCGCGAGCTCATGGTGAAACAAGTCCGCCGGCGTCTATTCGGCAGGCCGATCGGCTCTTGCCCTAGACTGCTAAAACTCTCCCGTGCTTGTAAATGACTTGCCCCTCCTATTGTCCGCGCTTGATCCTCGACCTGCCAAGTTCAACATTGTGGGCATACTCTCCCTAAAACTACATTGCTGGAAGAAAGTCCATCCGACGACATAAGAAAGCAGACTCCTTTACCAACTTATTGCCTGTCAGGTCGCGATCCCTTGATACCGCTCGTTCCTGGGGCGTCTTATGTGTGTATGCATGTCGAGAACATGAAGCCCTAGTTCGACCTTTAGCGTGCGCCTAGGTGGTAGTTATCAAATGTTATTTCCTTACTAGGGAATTCATGCGCTGCGGAGGGTGCACAAGTGCTAGACTCCAGAAGCTCCTTTCAGGGTATCTGCAGAGCTGGAAAGCAAGATGCGCACTACTCACACAAGGGGATCGGATGGTGGAGATCGGGCATAGGTGGGCCAAAGCTTACTAGTTGCTTCCGAGTACTTCTACCGGAATTCTGCGAAGTTCCTCCGACTTGTCCGAACAGAAGTAAGTTAAACACGCCATCTTTCCAACTATAATCCTAGTGGACAACAATAGGCGTTCTACTAAGAAGAGCTCCACTTGATTGATTGGAGAATTGAGGTCAAGGCGCCTCTGACGTCGTCGTTTGGTGTGGTTGTTTCCTTCGGCACCGCGGCTCGGAAGTAAACTAAATGAAATCAGCACGTGCCGCGTGAGACCGAAGCACGAACATGTCACGCCCGATGAACCCTGACACATTCTTTTCTGCTTCTTGGTGGACCACCACCAAGGGCGTCGGGTCCGCCCAATGAGCTGTATCTTTCTTGGTCACTTCTAACCTCTGGCATATCTCTCTCACATAGACATGGCCTACACGCTATGGAATGCGGTGGAATGCGGGGATGTCAGTGTCATAGGTGCTATGGGCAACACATTCCGGCGGCTTGTTTATTGTGCTTAGTGTCTGTGGATCGGTGCTCTAAGGGAAAGATCGACCGGCATGCTGGACAGACAGAATCCGCCACCAACTTTCAACTTAACGTCCGACACCACTTGTATATCTCACACCCTTCTCTCCTTCTCCCGTCACGCTCTCTCTTCCGCTAGAGTCTAGCTCAACTGCGCGCGTCCCTTCCTTTCGTTCAACTCGCATCTCTCGTTCTTTCCTTTTCCTCCCCCAGTGCTGATACTACGAGCTCAGCTGGTGCGACTGTACCTCTACTCCGTTTGCTGTAACCCGTGCTACTGTATTGGTCCCTAGTATTCGTCCGTCAACACCTCTTCCCCAACGGTACCCTTCTCTACAACGGCAATACGATGGCGAGCCTGCTCCCCGTTCCGCCAACTCCTTCCCCGACGCGCGAACTCTCACAGAGTTCGCTCTTTCTCACACTTCAGACTACCCCGCCGTCTCCCCAGCATTCCTCCGCCATCTCCGATAGCGAAGGCACCCCTTCTCCCGTCCGGCCTGTTATGCTCGCTAAACTCACTCCGCTGAGCCTTAATAGACTCGGTGGATCTCAACCTCAGCAACGCAGAGGTGCCTTCTCGATCTCTAACCCCACCACCTGTGCTGGAGATGTCTTCCTTTCTCCTTCGACTGCTGCTGCCTCCGCCACCGGGAAGAGGAACGTCTCGAACAATGCCCATGGGAAAGCTAAGCGCCCTGCGCCAATGAAGCTCAAGATACCCGCCCTGGCCCAGCCTCAGCCGTGCGTCTCCCCGACTCGGAGCACACTCAGCGTCCCCCCTTCTCCGTATCCTGCGCTTCCGAGTCCGCTTTACAGAATCATCGAGGAGCGCTATGGCACAACACCACGTGGCGACAAGCACAGCGATGCAACTGCTTTCCCGTTTGCTCCGAACATGGGCATGGGAGACGTTAACACGAATGGCACTGGTGTGACGTACGGCAGTGGACTTGGTGGTGGGATCACGATGTCGAAGAGCATGCAGGACCTGCAGTTCGGTCTTTTTGCGCCTCAACAATCGCAGATGCCGGTCCAGCTGCCCCAGATACCCGACACGCCTTATACGCCGGCTGGCAAGTCCCCCACGCAAGCGACCTTCCTGCATATCCCAAGCTCCCCATTCACTCCTCCCTTCACCCCACCTCACAACAACCTTCAGCTACCTATGCTCGAGCAACCTCGGCCCAAATCCATCTCGCACATACCCCTCCCACAACCGTTCCTCCCCCCCACGCCAACGAGCCCCGGATTGACAGTCCCGAGCCTTCCCTTTGCCCACCAATCGCCAGCATATGATATTGCCCTACTACCTGCGAACCTTTTCCCGCCAGGGCACAAGCTTCTTCCCGATTTCCTCCACCGCTATGCTCTCCACGCTTCTCCGGAGCTCGGCTCCGGTGGGTTCGGTTTCGTCTTGCTTGCGCAGAAGCGGTACGGGGACATGAGAGATGTCGCCATCAAGTTTATTGTCAAGGATAAGATGCCGCGCCATAGCTGGATTCTCGACAGAGACTATGGCATGCTTCCTATCGAGATCACAGTGCTGCGTCTGGTGAAGCATGAGAACATCGTGGAGTTTATCGAGTTCTTCCAAGATGATGTCTACTTTTATCTGGTGAGTGCATATATGCGCCAAGTAGGGTGGGCGCTAACGTTGCGGATGGCAGGTGCAAGAGCTTCACGGTACCCCTTGGACACCACAGCCGACACTTATGCCGCTCCCACCCACTCCTACTACACCTTGCCCAATCTCGCCCACATCGCCGTTCCCGATCCACCCCGATGCCGCCAACAACCGTCCCGCTCCTGTTAGGCGCGCCTCCTACGATCTTTTCGAATGCATCGAGCGTCACACGCGTCTCTCAGAAGACGTCGCCCGGCGTATCTTCCGGCAGGTCGTGGACGCCGTTTCCTATCTCCATTCACTCGGGATCTACCACCGCGACATCAAGGATGAGAACATCCTGATCGACCAAGATTTCCGCGTCAAGTTGATCGATTTTGGGTCGGCGGCCATCACAGATACTCGAAAGGCCCCACCCTATCATGATCGCTTCTTCGGCACGATGAACTTCGCCAGTTCCGAGATCTTGCAGAACAAAGCATATCAAGCGCCGCCCGCGGAGATCTGGACGCTGGGTATACTTCTGCACATCCTTGTCACGGGAGAATGCCCTTTCTCGAGCACGCAAGCGGGCATCGAGGGTCGGATCAGCCCACCCAGGAAGGGCGTGTTCATGTCCCGCGACTGTGAGGCGCTCGTCAGGGGCTGCCTTGAGGTTGATGTCAACAAGAGGCTTACTATCCACGAGATCCAGAGCCATCCTTGGCTGATGAGGAACTGAGCTCTGATTCTAATTCTCTGCATCCATGTCCTGCGAAATGGACACCCCATATCAAAATCGGCTACCTTCGGATTGACATCATCCACTTACAAAAGAGGCGCCTCACGGCCGCCTTCCCTTCCACTCATTTGCATTATTTCCCGCGTCACTCGTTTTCGTCTTGGATGCACATTTTTCGCTCTTCATTGAATATCGCTATAACCATCGGAAAAGCTGCCGTATATCTATTCACGCAGGTCCTCGGCGACCCTTTCACCGGATTTCGATACCTCTGGGTCGAAAGTATGTCCTCCTTCTGTCATCATTAATTTTGCGTGCCTGCCACGCCTATATTCTCTTACTTATCGCACTGTCTGCGTCCCCGGTGACAGTGTTACTGGTCTTGTATGGCCTCTGCTGCATTGTTTCAGTATCCGACACAACATGCTTCGTTACCGTTTTCCGTTGACTTGTTTCTACACTCTTCCCTTGTTATCCTCTCATTCGCTATTCGCCATCGCCATCGCGAGCCTCAACCCTTCATTGTATCGTTACTTGCACAGCCAGTCAATCCAAGTTTATGCTTCACAGTAACTATATGCTGCATGCGGGGGTTTCAGTTGGCTTGACTCGCGCGTGGTAAAAACGATAATATTCTTCGCATAGCAGTACAGCGGTGTTCAGCAGCCTTGTGACTGGTGAAATCCCTCTTCCCGTTTCTACTACTCAGCGTTGTTGAAGAAAGGTTGAAGATTGGGGCTTCATTGATGCATGCTGATGCCGTTCAAGGATCGCATTGAATGAAAGGAACGACCGGAGACATGCATCAACCAGAGGTAAAACCCTGATTCCATTACAGATGACTGGTATTCCAGAAATCCGGAAATGGTACGTGAAGCATCTATTTAGGTACACAAGAAGGCAGTTGCTCCTCCAGATCTGGCTGCCGCGAAATGATTCTGGTTCTAAAAGGCGCTGGGTATACCGTGGACCCGGTATCGAGCATGGCCATACTGTCTGGGGTAATTTCCTTCCCATCCTCGCCCCGTGCCTTCTGAAAGCCGAAAGCCCTTAGGAGGAACGCAGCGCAGATTCGGAGGTTCCGGATGGCCATGTCTCTCCCAGGACAAACTCGTCGGCCATAGCCGAAGGCGAGGAAATCGTCGTGAGTATCAGGTGGGGGCTGGCGAATCCCACCTTCAGAAGTAAGAAACCGTTCTGGATGGAATTCATCGCCATTGGGGTAGGTGAGTGGGTCGCGGCTGATTGCCCTGCCTCGATGTTAGTTCTAAATGAGCTCCGTAGGAAGTGTACGCTTGCCAGATGTTTGATACCAAGATAGTTCCTTTGGGAATTACCCAGTCTTTGTACAGAACCTCCTGATATGCAAGTCTAAATACAACGCGACAGAAGGGCAACAATTATTACCTCTCGAGTTGCATGAGCAATACCTGAATTACATCAGGACGTCGTCAGACTTAACAATGTAAAAATATACTACACACCCATTGGGCCGGGGGGACGCCATCGCAGGACTTCCTTGACAATTGCTTCGATGTAGGGCAATTGTGCTAGATCTTCGGAGGTTGGTGGATGGTGTCCAACAACAGAATCAAGTTCTATTCTGGGCTTTCTTGACAACTTCCGGATAAAATGTGACCGCCATGATTAACCATCTAATGGCAATCGCCGTCTGCATAGGCTTCAGTTACTGATGTACTTCCCAAGAAAGTCTTTGTATCTCACGGTATCTTGCGCCCCAAGGCTGATATCAAATAAGTTGGTTATTCTTCTCGTACGTTTGTATAAAGTTACGCACTAGAGCATACCAGCCAACCAAGCAGAGTCTTCCAAACACATGCCGTGCACAGCCTGCTTCTCTCGAAGTGCACTACTAAGAAACCGATCTCCATCCTACGAGATAATCAAACCAGATCGCCTTCACTCTCTCAGAGAATGGCTCACCACAGGCGTGTTTTCCAGAAGATTGATAAACTCTTCCGTTGACTTCTTGTAGATCCTATCCGCCGGACTAGCACGTGTCAGGTAATCGATTTGATCGCACTGTGTAACTGGCTCACCCTCTCAACCATTGCGATCGCTCGATCACATATTTCAGGGGAGGAAATATGTCCACAGCTGATCGACCGGGTACCAGCGCGTCGAACAGAATGCTAGCAATTTCTTCGAGGCTGTGTGATGGATTTGGTCCTGTAATAGGAATTAACGGCATGCCATACAGACTGCGCATACTGAGCGACGAAGTGGTTCGATGTACATGAGTTTCCATCGAGATTTCAGGGTGGAGGAGAAGTCCTTGAACCAGCAAAGCCGCTTCCTCCTCTTGGATAGACACACGGCTCAAGAACGTTCGACTGTTCAGACTATGCTAAAATTTTAGAGAGTCTGAATACAATTCCACGCGAGTTTGAGGTACCTTTCGTGGGTAACCTTCCGCATAACGCGCCATCTATATGCCATGTGAGCCTGGCGGGTGATCCGTTGGTAATGACCACTCACAGGTCGTTCTTGGGCATTATGGCCAAATTACGACCATGCTCTAGGAACTCGCCGGCCTGACTTCTTCACAACCGGATAAAGCAACATTGAACAAGAAGGCCCACCTTGATCAATCGAGGACGTTCGCCAGTGTCATTCGACATTCGGTCCAAGATATCGGCGGCCGTGTCAACATCGCTGATCACAACCCATGGTTGTCCTAACACATTGAGGCTGTATGTCGGGCCATATTTATTTACCCAGTGTGCGAATTTCAAGAACGGAAGCTTGGAGGGCACTTGGAGAAGGTTGCCGATGAAGGGTAGTCCAGGTGGGCCAGGAGGCAGTCGAGAGAACTTGCTGTTGAGCCGAGCGTAGAGCACACACAGTGCAAGAACAGCACCAAGCACCAGGGCATATTTGTCCATGGTGATAACTGAAGGGAATTTCGAAGTTAAGCAGGATGTGGTTCCTCATCGATTTATCTACCAATCAGCGCCTAATATCATCCGACTGAGAGGGTCCACGGGACACATCCGTATTATGTCCTACGCAGCACATTGTTGAGCTGTGGGCCGAGGAGAAGTAAAGGAAGGTGTCAATTCTACGCCAGAAGAGTTAGAATGGTTTGCGGGTTGCTTCCTAGAACGAACTTCTTCTTGTTGCAGTTCAAGCGCAGCACAGGGTCTCCAAGGAGAAATCGGTAGCGAATTATTTATTCTGCCAGACGAAGAGCATTACCCACCCGCGAGGCCTCCTTTCGACTCAACACTTCCCTCCCAAATAGATCTTGCATTCACAAATGTGGTAGGGTGTGGCATAGTAAGAATTTATGGTAGGCGATCAGGGGTTAGACAATATGGTTGGGTTTTACGTAAATAAACCCTGACACTTCAACTATCCTGATTTAACTCAGATTATGCTCTCCTTTGGCATGGAGAAGCTGGTAACCCCCAAACAGCAAGGAGCGCTCCTCGCCTTCTTAAAAGGAAATTATGCTTGAAACAAAACAGACAGGGTTATGCTTCTTAAACCCTAACCACAGGCCTGAAATTGCCCTCGCTTCCTGCATTCCTTGCACCCTCCACTTCAATAGACACTGTCACTATTTACATTGGCTGAAATTGTGTGTTTATCTTTTCTGTTCCCACACTTGTACAGTTGTTGTCTGTTATGCCATATGTAAATGGAAGCACTGTCGGCCATTTTGTACTCATTATCCCCGGCGGCTATTCAACGAGAACTTGTGTGTGACTGGCCCGCGTACAAAACCGGTACTTAAACACGTCTCGGTAGCACAAGAATTAGTGTAACTGTCGCACATGCCGAAGTGAAATCCACTCTCCTTTCATCGATCATTCCGGAAGGTTCCCCGCCAGAGACACTAGCAGACCAGTTCATGAGGGTAGGAAGGACAAGGAATGATTTAGTGATGAACTGTCTTACAGTAGAGGAGAGATAGATATATGGGGGGAATGAAAGTCTATCGTCGACTAGTATATGGGGCTGTGTCAGAAAATCTAGGTATGAGCGGTTATTGTAACCCAAAGCCAGTGACGGCCTGTTGCGCCTTTATTTGGGTCCACAATGGCGCAGTCGTTCCTCCAGATCCGGATGACGGGGAATCATTTGGGATTGGAAAGGTGCAGGATATACAGTGGGCCCCACATCCATCATATCCATGTCGTTTGGGAATAGCTCGTTCCCATCGTCGTCTCTTGCCTTCTGGAAGTCGAATGCCCAGAGCAGATAGGCAGCGCAGATTTTAAGAGTCCGGATAGCAACCTCTCTCCCGGGGCAAACTCGTCGACCATAGCCAAAGGAGAGAAAGTCATCGTGTGTATCAGAAGGTGGCTCACGAATCTCGTTTTCTGAAGTGAGGAAACGATCCGGGTTGAATCCGTGACCGTTTGAATAAGCGGTCGGGTCACGGTTTATTGCCCTGTCGTGATTGTCAGCCCAGATGAGCCGTCCCGTAAAATGTGCGCTTGCCAGATGTTTGGAACTAGGATAGTTCCTTTGGGAATTATCCAATTCTTATACGATATATTCTGAGAAGCAGGGATGAGTTCATGCGCTAAGATGGCAACAACTCACTACCTCTCGAGCTGCATGGGCAATACCTAAATTAAATACCATTCAGGATGTCGTTAGACGTGACAATTGCTAGTACACACTCATTGGACCCGGGGGACGCCATCGCAGGACTTCCTTGACAATCGCTTCGAGGTACGGCAATTGTGTTAAATCTTCGAATGTTGGAGGATGGTGTCCAACAACAGAATCGAGTTCCAGCTGGCCTTTCTTGACAACTTCCGGATAGAGCGTGAAGGCCATGATTAGCCAGAGAATGGCTATGGACGTCTGCACAGTGTTCAGCTGTGTTGAAAAGGTAGGAAACTCCTGGGAGAGTCTTACAGTATATTGCGCGACTAGACTGATATAGATAAGTTGGTCATTATGTCACCGTTGTACCTTTATATGAAGTTACGCACTGGAGCATACCAACTAACCAGGCGGAATCTTCCAAGCACATACCGTGTATGGATTGCTTCTCTCGAAGTGCGCTACTGAGGAACCGGTCTCCATCCTAAGAACCATTGAGACTGGTGTATCTTCAATGATCTTCGAACAACATCGCTCACAACCGGCTCGCTTCTCAGCAGCTTAATGCACTCATCCGTAGACTCCTTATAGATCTTGTCTGCCGGGCTAAGATCTGTCAGCTGATTGTTCAGCACCGCCCACGTAGCTGACGCACCCTCTCAACCATTGGGATCGGGCAATCAAATACTTTAAGGGAGGGAATATATTCACTGCTGATCGACCGGGCACCATCGCGTCGAACAGAACCTTACCGATCTCTTCCAGACGATGCGATGGACTTGGTCCTTGGAGAGGAATGGACGGCATGCCATAAAGATTACGCATGTTGAGTGACGAAGTAATTCGATGTACGGGAGCTTCTATCGGAATCTCGGGGTGAAGTAGTAGTCCTTGGACCTGGAGCGCAGCCTCCTCCTCTTGGATAAATAGACGATTCGTTATCGCTCGACCATTCAGACTGTTGCGGAATGTTTGAGCTGCTGGAAGTCATGTCTTACGAGGTTAAGAGCTTACCTTTCGTGCGTGGCTTTCCTCATGGCACGCCATCTGTTCATTCTAATGAGACCGAGCGGTCTTCTGGACTAACGACTCACAGGTCATTCTTAGGCATTATAGACAAATTACGCCCATGTTCTAGAAACTCATTAGCCTGGCATATTCTTAGCTATACAAAAGCAGCACTACAAAGAACAGGCCTACCTTGATCAATCGAGGACGTTCGCCAGTCTCATTCGACATCCGGTCTAAGATATCGGCGGCCGTGTCAATATCGCTGATCACGACCCATGGTTGTCCCAGAACATTGATGCTGTATATTGGGCCATACTGCTTCACCCAGTGTGCGAATTTCAGGAAGGTAAGCTTGGAGGGTACTTGGAGAATGTTGCCAATGATGGGTAGTCCAGGTGGGCCAGGAGGCAGTCGAGAGAACTTGCTGTTGAGCCGAGCGTAGAACACACACAGTGCAAGAACAGCACCAAGCACCAGGGCATGAGTGATATCCATGGTGACAGCTCCGCGAATTTTCAGCCTGGTTCGAAGTGGCTCGCTCCATCGTTTATGTACTGGTCAGGACCGTTGGTCATCAGTCGACTGCGGTTGGAGACGCTGGTCCAGTGAGTGCCCGTATGCACTACCCGAACGCAGGGCACTGTTGGTGTTGCTCCATGAATGATCGGGGCCCGTCATCCATAAAATGAGGAAGATGAATCTCGGCGTCAATTTTGATGATCAGCCGGTATACAGTCCCTTTCAAGGCGTGCTGTGCAAAATGTGCAAAATTCGAGCCAGGGTTGTGTCCTGGGTGAGCAGACAACGACCATCACCGGCAGTCGCCGTCTATGATCATTTTCTTTTCTCTCTTCGGTAGCTCACGTCACCAACGATCAAAAGCTTGTTGTGATCACGTTCTGAACTATGTCCTGGTTTGACTGTTCTTTATCCAGGACTACACCGGTTTCGCGGCGGTATCAAGCGAGCCTCATAAGTTCTGCGAGATTCGGAAATCGCGGTATCGCCGTCGCCCACATCACCGATGGACATACTACGGCACCGATATCGATAAATGCGTCAGGATCAGGAGTGATCTCTTGACCGTGTTCATCCATCGGTTTTCTGACCTCTAAAGCCCAGAGGACATAAGTGCATACAATCCATAGCTCACGGAGCACAAGGTCGCGGCCTGGGCATGCGCGCCGTCCATGCCCGAAGGTGAGATAATCGTCCCGCGTGTCAGGGGATGGTGACCGGTGCTCGTTCTCGGGTGTGAGAAACCGGGAGGGATCGAACTTCTCAGGATCTGGGTAGAGTTCCGGGTCGTGCGTCATTCCCCTAGGATTCATGCAATCAAAGGTAGGACTAGTAGCTGATGAATAGACAACTCACCAAATATTGTCAATAAGCATGGTTCCTTGAGGTATGAGATATCCTTCGTAAGAAATGTCGTCTGTTGTCATATGCGCAAGACCTAGTATGAGAACACATGTCAGGATGCCCTTTCGTTCCAAATATGGACATACCGCCTGGAGTGGGAGGTCGCCATCTGAGCACCTCTTTCAGGATCGCTTCAATATACGGTAAGTTCGATTGATCCTCAAATGTCGGTGGACGGGATCCGATGACGGTATCAAGCTGTTTCTGTGCTTCCCTCGCGACTTCGGGGTGCAACAACATAGCCAGGAAGAAGTATTGGAGGGCCACTTTGGTCTAGTCTTTGGATGAGTGCGTGAATCCTTCAAGAGAGTTACAAATTAAGCGGACCGTATCCTGGGAAGCCAGACTATGTTGTGTAAGTGATCAGGAAAAGATACTTGCGCTGGAAAAGTCTTACAGGAGAATACCCACTAACCACACTGAGTTAACATCGTCCAACCCCGGGTACTTCTTCTCCTTCAAGTCTCGGCTAATGCAACTCCCCTGAGGGGCGAAGGTGACTTAGAGAGGTAGCTGTGGATATTTACAGCAGACGTACGGGTGCTTCGGAAAAATAACACTGTTTATACAAGTTTGTGACTTGCTGATAGAAAGCATCGGATTTCCTGGAAATACGCCAATCGATTGTCGATTGTGAAAACGTTACACAACTACCTTCTTAAAAGTGCGATCCGATCAGTTAGACATCTCAGGACGGGCAGGAGGTCAATGATACTCTTCCCCGGCTTGACCGTCTCGAAAAGCCTGTCCGACACTTCCACTAGTTTTTGGCTGGGATCCGAGTCGTCTATAGACATTCCCTCCAGTCCATACAAAGTACGCATGGCAGCGGATGTGGAGAATCGGTGGGTTATGGACACGAAGCGAAAGATGCGGGTGAGAGAGAAGGCCCAAGACCAGGGAACGCGCTTCGGATACGTGTACTGAGGCGTATTGTTCAACCGCACGAGGAGTGATCCTATGATGTTGGTTGGTCAGAGATACGAGTCGAGGAATCATCGGGAAGTTACGTGTCATGTGCAGCTCGGCGCATGGTTCTCCACCTGAGAGCCGCGTAAGCGGCGCCGAAAACGTTAAAGCATAAATGACATACAGTGCGTTACGTTGCATGAAGGCAATATTGCGACCTCGGCACATATACTCTGCTGCCTGGAAAGTTTAGAATATATCTGTACAAGCCATTGAAAGTAACAAGTGCTGTACCTTGATCTGTTCTGGTCTGCCTCCGGTCTTGGAAGACATTCGATCCAAGATTTCTCCGGCGACCTTCGCATTCCCCAATACTACAACACGTTTGTTGAGAGTGCGAGATGTGTATATGGGACCTGCAATCATGGTAAGAGTCCCGATGAGTGCGTCAAGAGGCCAGAGAAGAACCAAATTCTTTGGACCAAACGGTGAGTTTCTTGAACATCAATGACGACAGTGGCAGGTCCAGCAGATTCCCAATGACAAGCCATCCCGGTGGTAGGGGGGGGAGACGAGAGTATTTGCGGTCCTTGTAGAGTTTGGTGACAAGAAAGAGAATACCCCAAGCCACCGAGATGGACAAAAGCCAGTGAGACATCCCGACGTGCTCGCGGGGTGTTCGCCAAAAGGCCACCACGACACGGATTTATAGCTCGGGCCGGGCATCAGCAACAATCGGTCCGACCAGAGTAAATGCCATTGGGAGCGATTTCATTTCCGGGAGAGCCACCAAATTGGGACGCACACATATATAACTACGCGACCGCAAACCGAGAGTGGGGCATGCCACCTGAAAGCGCTGAGTAAGTGCTTTCTTTCATTTCCCGGCTATTAAGAGGGTCGACGGAGCGCTCGCGAAGAGAAGAGTGTGCTGAGGATGAAAGCAAGGATGTTAATCAGAGTTGCGGGAAACGCCGCGGCGGTAAGTTCGGAGATAAATGTTTACGTAAGGGTTGATGTCATTGTTCTAAGAAGTAGAAGGGAATTCAGCGGGACGCTGACCTAGCATGGCCCGACGTCGTCTTAAACTATACGCTCAACGTCTTGCTCAACACTCTAGACGACATTGACTGCGATGGCCGATATAAATGCCCAAGAAAACGGCGAGAATGCCCCTCTCCTCTCAACAACTTCTCAACCTGTACCGGCCCCACGTGGGGCCTGGGTTCGAATCGTCGTCCCCGTTGGCCTCACAGTCGTCTTTGCTATCGCGGCAATCCTAGCGTTTGCCCTTCCACGCGCCCAGCTTCCCATACTGGACCGTGTAGGAGTGGTGGACACGCACATTGACCTGCCGCTCCTACTGAGGATGTTCTACAAGAATGACATCAACCAGTTCGACATGAGGGCGACGATGCCTGGGCACGTGGACATCGCCAGACTGCGGACAGGACATGTTGGGTAAGTAACTGTAATATTCGGTCTGGCGATCTGGGTTGATCCGATTGCGTAGCGGTGTCTTCTGGAGTGTCTTTGTCCCCTGTTCAGCAGAGCTGGGCAAGGACGAGGGGCCGGACTTCATGATTCCCACTTATCGCGTCCGGTGCGCCTTCGTTCAGCATTTGTTATCCCTGTTCCTGCTAAAGTGAGAACAGTGACACCCTGGAGCAGATTGATATCACCAAGCTCATGATCGACGAGTACCCTGATGTGAGCTGTTCACCATCGCTATCTTGCAGTTGTTGATTTCCTCCTTAGGTCTTCGAGTACGCCACAACTGCGAAGGGGATGCGTGCTGCCATGTCGTCAGGGAAAGTCGCAAGTTTGATTGGTGTTGAGGGGTGCGTGGAGCTTCCAGACATGTTGAAGGACAGAGAGCTGATTCTAGACTCAGTGGACACCAGCTTGAGAACTCACTGGGTGTCCTGAGGATGTATTACGAGCTTGGAGCGAGGTACATGACCTTGACTCATACCTGCGTGCGTATTTTGATAGATTCTATGTTGTATCACAGCTGATATGGCAAGCATAGAACAATGCGTTCGCTGATTCTGCTGGCATCGGTGCTACACCTACACCATTGCACGGTGGACTCAGGTTCGTTCCTTCTCATCGTGGCACTCCTATCCGTCTGAACCCCCATGTATAGCCCGTTCGGTGTCGAACTGATATATGAGATGAACCGCTTGGGAATGATGGTAGACATTTCTCACGTCTCCGACGACACCGCAATCCAAGCATTCAACGTTTCTCGCGCCCCTCTCCTCTTCTCCCACTCTTCCTCCCGCGCGGTGCACAACGTGCGACGAAATGTGCCTGACAGTATACTCGAGCTCATCGGCGAGGGAGAGGGAAAGAAGGATGCTGTGGTGATGGTCATTTTCGCCCCGGATTTCGTGGCAGACAAGGACAAGGCGGATGTGAAGGCCGTTGCCGATCATGTAGTGCACATCGCCCACATTGCAGGACCCCGACAGTGCGTTTATTCCTCTATTTCATTCAAATGTACTTAGACGTTTCAGTGTCGGTATCGGCAGCGACTACGACGGAATCACTAGCGTGCCCCAGGGACTCGAAGATGTCTCCAAGTATCCTGCACTCTTCGAAGAACTTCGCTCCCGCGGCTGGGACGACACGATGCTGGCAGGATTGGCTCAGTACAACCTGCTCCGAGTCTTTGAGGGAGTGGAGAAGACGGCGATGGAGATGCGTTGGGAAGGAGTGAAGCCTGCGATGGCGTTGTATGATAAGAGGGCCGATCTACTCGACGAGATTGACAGTTTCTTTGAATAAACGTGCGTATGTGTCGTATCATTTGAAGACAGGAAGATTTGGCTAATTGTTATACAAGGCGTTCCTCGTCTCAAATTTGTGCTACACGCATATGTTTATAGGAATAAGTCCATAATCTTACTAATGCATCTGTGAGTAGAGGACTTCGCTCCCATCGGGGATGTAGATGAAGTGAGAAGGCCCCCTCCACATTCCTGCAGCGATAGAACGCTCTGCTTCCGCCACCTTGTTGCTGAGGGCCGCACCGAGCATGTTGAAGTTGACATCGTTCTTGTCATCCAGCACCGGATCAGCGGAATTGCTCCACATCTTGAGAATGGTAGCAATGAACTTGGGCGCCTCGGCAGGGTGTCTTCCGAACCGCATGTCGTTCGTGCGGTTGCGTACAGCCTCGAGGTCGGACACTTGGACTGCTCCTTGGGTAGGAAGTAGAACTGTCACGAGTGTCCTGGCATCTCCTCCGATGTGTCTTCCAGGCACAGGTCGTCCGTCCTCGGGGGAGGGATAGCGACGCAGTGCAGGGCGCATTGTCCCGGTCGTGCGGTCGAAGTCGAGGTACAGGCAGATGTCAGGTGTGCCAGCGAGGACGAGACGCCAAGAGTTGATTGGTGTACCGTTGACAGTGACCGCGTTGCGCAAAACGACAATATAAAGAGCTCCGTCAAGCATTGCGAGCAAGCGCCTATGTTGAAGACTGCGGGATGGGCGTGAGGTGCTGCTCCTGGACGGTTCTGTTTCTGCATGGCGCTGGAAAGATGCTTTAAGTAGAGGTGAGCTCCGCTTTTGAGGTTCGCGGTTGCCTAGAAGTAGAGAACTTGGTTTGTACAGAGACTCAGCACTGGAGCCAACAATAGCCAGCACACGCAGGAGGACTGGTCATGTCGCTCCATTCCGACATATGCGTAGATACCGCCCCCAGCCGGCCGCCCAGCAGTCGAAGAAACCCGCAAGAGCCATATAGCCAAAAGATGAAGTAATCCCAGCAGTCATCTTGGAATCACAGGCCATACCACAACCTTTGTTGTTCCCTGTGCAGGTTCAACGGAGGAGGAGTTTAGGCGCGCCCACTTCCTGGACAAGGGTCGTTGGCGCCCGTGGCTTTCGGCCCCTTGGCTTTGTCCGTCAGCGACCGCTGACACACGTCTTCCTCACCTCATCCCGCTTTTAATCCTGAAGTGGCTCTATACTCGGTCCTAGGCAGGGAGATAAGATGGCTTGAGTATGACGGTGCAATGATGAAATGCGAAGTTGAAGTTCTATCAGAGAAAGGAGGCGGAAGTCTCTGAAAAATGCGGATACCTTCACCTTTGTTTATGCTGATTTCAACTGACTTGACTGCGGTACCGCCGCAACACCCGAGGCATGACAATACCGGCGCCAAAGTAGACCCCAACAGATACAATGCGGTTAAGAAGGCGCCACGAATATGCCAATGGAGATGGTGAAGAACCTTCGACGGCATGGGGACCATTGACCCTGTCGCAGAGCCGACCTTCTAGAAGCAAAGAATTGAAGTATATATTCTAATGCCAAGCCTGGTGCTCTTCAATGCGGTTTTTGTGGGAGGATCGATAGGAGGATCGTTGTGACATGGCCGCCCGTTGTTAGTCGCGGCACAGCCTGAGCCCTGGAAATATAATTCGGCGGCGCCGAGACACGTTGAGTTATATCACACAGTTACTGAGAAGAAAATAAAAATAAAAATAAAAATCAAATTCAAATTCTGTAAAGTGACGCCTCGTAAACTTGCAAACTCCTGCAGAAATATTAAGGGTGTTGGCTCAAGACAGGATCAGACATACAGCCCAGTCGATGTGACTACTGAGGCGCCGTACTTAATTCGGATATACCTCTTTCTCATGTGCACACCTGCATCATCGTTGATAGCCGATATCATTGTTCGAATCGACCACCACATGGCATAAAAGAAGCGAGAACACATCACGACCGGTTACGCGCTCACCATCCTGCCACTGGCACCCAATATCAATTGCATTACTATTGAAGCGTTGAGCGCATGGTTGAACATGTGCTGACTCGGAGAGTATAGGCCACTACACAACCGCAGCCGATGTGGATGAGGATATGAACTCGAATCCAACCGATCCATACGTAGCCCGACGACATATGGCGTGACGCCGCTCACATCACTGAATAGTAACAAAAGACAATATGATACGCACAAGAGACACCTCTTCCGTTACACTGCGTGACAGGCGGTAGTCACTAAAAACAACGAGCGAGACATGGGTATCTCACCCTGAATCCAGTCCACTACTCGTGGATCTTGAGCCGTTACCTTGTCACTCTCGTAATCCCTCCGCAAAGGCTGCGTATCCCAAAGGGCAAGGACGCTACATTCCTTCAACAGATGACACCTAACCAATCACGACAAGAAGCCAGTTCAACCGCCCCTCCATGAGTTTGGGCTAGAGTCGCGTGATGACCGATTAGCTCTCCCTTTCTCTCGTTCAGAGTGAGCAAACGTAGGCAAGACATTGAGCGGAAAGTTGCTAGTGATATGTGGCCTATGCGGGTATATATCAATGAGCGAGGAGTCGGCTTGAATACCAAGGTTTCCACTTTTGTACCACAGAGCAACTGTCCTTCCCATCCTCCCTGTGATAAACCGGATACACCTCAGGCAAGATATAGTTATCGAGAATAACCAGCTTCTCCCCAGACGATACGCTTATTGCTCATCAGCGATTACGCTCATGCATATTCCAGTTGTAATCGAAAAGCCAATCCAGACATCTGCGTTTGCTGATGACAAACATGCCTCATATCAGCAGCATCACGGGAGCCGCTCCCTGACGCTACTGTAGTCAGGAGCCGATCTGTGTGCGAAGTCCTTGCTGCTGGTCGTATCATCGAGCGATGGAGGTGGCGCATGTGCGTGTTGGAGTTACCGGGAATGCCAGAGAAGAAGCAAAGAGGGGAGAGGGATAGGACGAACAGGCTGGAAGGCGATAGAAGGAGGAGGAGAGGAGAGAAGGAGAAGGAGGCTGCCAGCACACGATCTCAAAAGAAGGTAGCACGTGTCCAGCAACATAGCCGAAGAGAAGCCCCGAAGCAGCGCCCATCTTTCCGTGGGCTTCGGGAGATAAGGCGGTGCCTCGTTGTTGGCGTTGTTTTTGCCTCTTTTTCGTTCCTGGGGAAGCTGGTGATCGTGGGGACGAGGGGGTTGTCGTGAAAGCAAACGATACTCAGGCCGTTGTTGCCGCCCCACGGCCTAGTTGCAGGTTGTTCATCAAGAGAGAGGTGGTCCGATAGCCGTTCTGCGCAGAGTTGTATTCAGTAAATAAGCTTGCTGACCAAGTTACCTTTTCGGCTTTTCTACAGGAGAATCAGGGAATCAGGGATCTGATTCAGTGGATTATAATGAGTGGCTCACCGCCCAGAGGGTCCATAGCAACGGGCGCTCGTAAGATCCGCTATAATTAAGAGTGCAGGCGGATGATGATGAGAAATGCACTGTTTTGAATAAGGAATGAGATGGGCGGTGCTGATGATGGGTAATCAGAGTGGCTCGACGAAGGTTTATTGCGAGATTGCGGGGAAGAGAAGAAGCCTCGAATGGAATACTCCTGCAGAAATCGCGATTTTTTACCTTTGGTTGCTTTCTCAGGCCCGTGCGCAAATGCGTTGCTGGTTGTCCGAGCTGTCAAAGATAGTTGTTACAGAAGATATTGTTAACTTACTAGAAAGAATTATCACCCTCTTGTAGCGTAGATGTTGTTAGCGTAATCAGAATGTTTATAGTAAGAAATATACCGAAAATAACAGAGTTGTGACCCGAAGCGCCGTCGGTTCGTCGTCGATCGGATACAAGGACGACGGTATCCAAACTGCGTGTCCGCTGTTTGTCCCCTTACCTTGGTCGCTCCTCACTCCCTTTACCCTCTTGCTCATCGGCAATTCCACTTTCCTCGCTGCCGTTCACCCGGAGACCTCGTGCTCATCATTGGCAACGTCCAGCTGGAGGAAGGCAGGGCACGCGGAGGACGCGCTCTGGCCGACCTCGCCTAGCCAGGCAGGAATTTGCGCATACACGAACGCATCAAGGTGCCGCATACACGCTGCTCCTCCTTCTTACCCTCGTTCCTACATACCTTGGTCGTTGATATCCATACCCAGCCAACCAACTACCATCATTGGATAGCTCTCTATAGCCCTCGACGTTGAGGCCCTCTCCGACGTCCTCGCTCTCAGCAAACGACCATGCTCGCCAACCCTCCAGCTCCCTCCCCCATCCCCTCTCCGATGCCAATGATCCCCGATGTTCGTATCGAGCGTCACTCGCCCTCTCCTTCTCCCTCCCCGTCGACATCTCGCGCGGGATCGCCAAGGTCGCCGTCGAGGGCGTCGCAGACGAGCGAGATGAATGCCAGTGGACCAGCGGCGAGCAATTGGGGTGCGAACTTTTGGGTTACTATCACTGACCCTCAGGTACGTCTTTATCCCCTTCCCTATTTTCCTTGTCGGCATACTTGCTCTGTTCTTCTGATTTCGGATCACTGCTCACCCTCATCAGACGCAAGCAACCTTCTACGCCTGTCCCGCAACAGGCGCCGTTTCCTGGGACCCTCCAGAGAACACCTTCCTCCTGCCCCCTTCGACAGAGGGAGAATGGTGGGAGCTCAAAGATGAGAGTCGGGGCGGTCTGTCCTATTTCTATCATACCAGAACGGGGGAGACGGTCTGGGAGCGCCCAGGGGGGTTCGTTATCCCATTGGGGATGATACAGGTACGTTCGTCATCCTTACTCGAGAGGGAGAGAGGCGCTGATGTGAAGCAGAACTCTGCATTGGGAAAGAGACTCTCTTTCGTAGTTGAAGAACCTGACCAACTCGACCCGACGACGGAAGTCGACTCCACTCCCTCGCGTTCGCTCTCCCCAACCTCATCCTTCGGCGAGACCATCCGCCCTTCTACACCGACTTCGCGTTCTCCACCTGCTTCGCCTCCCTCCCCAGCTCGCGCTCTCTCGCCTGAACCGTACCAGCCTGTGGGGATTCTCAAGGGCTCCCCTAACCGTCTTTCGTCCAAGGGTAGGCAGCAGAGCCCCCCACACTCGCCCACCACCTCGCCTGTGCACTCCCTTGCCCACTCGCCCACCTCCTCAATCACTTCCATGCGCAGGCCCGCAACAGCGCATCCTTCTGGTCACGGTCTAGGTGGTGAACGACCCAGGCTGGAGATGCGTTCCGCTAGCGCGGGGACCATTGCTCACGTGGCAGCACGTCAACCCCCGCATCAACCGCATCAGCAGCCAAGCACCCTCGGTCCAGCTCAGAGTTCAGCCCGACACCCTTCTGCGCTCCAGCCCCGCCCCTCCCTGCCAAACATCACCAACCTCACCGCCGCTGCAGCGAGTATCGTCTCCCCCCTCCAGGCATTCCCATCCGACGCAGACGGGGCGAAAAGCCTCCCTGCGTCGCCTCTTACCGCGTACGGGTATCCGAATGGTCATGGACATGGCAATGGGAACGCCTGGCCAAACGGAGCGGGGCATCACAGTCAGGGAAGTGCCAGCTCTGCACCGCCTCCCTCTGTGAACGGCCACCCGGGACACGCAGTGTTAGTCAAGAAACGCACATCTGGAGCTACCAACTCCCTCCGCACGAACGGGACGCTCGGCACAGGCACGGGAAGCAGCAGCACCCCCTCTTCCCCTTCCCTGCCGACTGCTCCACCGAGCCCGCTCTTCCCACGTTCTGCCTCGCCGAGGTCGAGCCAAGTCAGCCTGGCTTCCCTCTCCCCCTCGTTCCGAGGTAAACCCCCCAGCCCGCTGCGTCCACTTCCAGGCGCAGGTGGGTTCTCCCAGCGCCCCGGAACTGCTGGGAGTACGAAGGCCCAAGGGATGAGCGTGACTGTCGGTCCTCAGGGGCTTGGGATGAGGGAAGGACCGAGGCAGAGGAGCGCGACGCTGAGCAGTGTAAGGAGTTCGGGGATTTCGGCGCCTATCCGGGTGGACCGGTTTGGCGAACGTGAGTCTTTCTACTCTCATGAGTTCATGTAGTAATAGGACTGACAGTTATTTCTCTGGACGATGGGGGATCAGTGAACCCGCCGTTGTCGCCTATCTACCCGTTCTCGCTCAGGCCGATTCCGACGGCGCCTGTACCGCTGCCTGTGAGGCCGTCCTCGCCTATGTCGTTGTCAAGCAAACGGCTCTCTACTGGGTGCGTGATCTATTCTTTGATGTGTACCCATTACTGACCACACGAGGCAGCACACATCCCACCCTCCCCCCGACGCTCCAAGACGACATCAAGAAGTTTGCTACCTCGGAGTACGCGCGCAAGTTCTTCTCCCAGCGCTCGCGCGGATTCTGGTTCCTCAAGCGCCGCAAGATCCCCGTAGACGAAACCATGCGTTGGCAGCGATCTGCCCTTGACGGGCCTTTGCTCGTCATGAACGGCAGTTTGCACAAAGACGCTGTAGCGGCGTTCAAAGTCGTCCAGCGCATTATGGGGGATCGCGACCCTCTCAAGCCCATCGGGGTCGGGGCGCGTATGGCAAGCCAGACGGGCTCTAGAGGCAGCCCGAACAGCAGCTTCAGCTCTGTCTCGGGCTCGACGGGTCCAGGAGGGGCGAATGGGGATGGAAACAGTATCATCGAGGAGGAGAGGTGGCTTTTGCAGGCTGGAATCTCGCACACGGAGCTGAGGGACGAGATCTATTGCCAGGTGATGAAGCAGCTCACTGAGAACCCGAATACGTATGTCCACCACTGCCGGAATGGGGTATGTGACTAAGATTCATATGGCTTTTGCTATATAGGGACAGTGCTTTCCGCGGTTGGCAGTTACTCTGCGTTCTCATCGTCACCTTTCCGCCGTCGAAGTACTTCGAGGACCACTTGACCCATTTCCTTCACTCAAGTATGCATAACACCGAAGGAAAGGTCGACGTCATGGCTGGCTACTGCCTCAGGAGACAAGAGATCATCATGTGGAAAGGTCCGCGAGGCAAAGCGCCGAGCCTGGAGGAGATCGAAGCCGCTGCTGTGCGCTTGTTTGCCTTCGCTAAAGCTTGAGCTAATTGCACAGCTGTAGGATGCCGCTTTCCACCCTTCGGTGTTCGGCGAGTCCCTTCCGCTTATCATGTCCCTCCAAGCGACTGTCTACCCCCCTTCCGAGCAGCCAGTACCTATCATCCTCCCCTTCCTCTCTTCTGGCATCCTCGCCTTGGGAGGGATGAAGGAAGAAGGGATATTCCGACTTCCCGGCGACACAGATGCTGTAGCTAGTCTGCGCCTGCGGATTGAGCGCGGACACTATCATCTTGAAGGCGTGGAGGATCCACACGTCTGCGCAAGTCTGATGAAGAGTTGGCTCCGTGAGCTGCGTGAACCCGTCATCCCTGAAGGGCAGACATACAATCTCGCCCTTCAAGCTGCCGCCTCAGATAACCCAAACCAGGTGCTTGACGTTGTCCGCCACCTGCCTGAACCCAATAGGCGCGTTCTTCTCCATGTCATCAGCTTCCTGCAGCTGTTCGTTGGCGATGAGGTTGTTGAGCACACCAAGATGACAGAGGAGGGTCTCGCACGGGTCATGACGCCTAACCTTATTCGAGGCAGGACGGATGACCTGGACGTCGCGTTCCGTAACAACCAGTACGTGCAGCTATGCCAGCCTGCTATTCACCTTCTCACATGCATCCAGCTTTGAAAACGTCTTCGTCGGCATGCTCCTGCGCCACATGGACTGCTCGACGGTTGACCCCGGCTACAGACCGATGCACGGTCGTGCTTAGTGCTGTTCCCCACCTGCATTCATTTAACAAGGTTTCCTCCCTTTAGAGGAATTAGTGCCACATTTGTATACTACGGCGGGCGCTCCTTACTTTGACCTTTTACCTAGGTCGTGTACCACTACCGCGCCCCCAATTTACCATTTCACCCTTCGATTCCTCTCAACCTCACACCCCATGTCATTCATTACCCATATACTGAAATTCCATTCTCCATCATTCCCAAGATTGGTTAGATATCTGATGAGCATGCGTAATAAAAGAGCTTAATTTCTGTAATATTGCATGATCTCGAGAGGACAATTCAACGAGTTGCTATTTTTCCCAACTCTCACCACTACCATTCCTTGTTCTTTATATCCCCGTCATCCCAGTCCGATTCCTCCTCGAAGTTCTCGGGGAGGTCGTACTCTCCGAAATCCTCACCGAAACTGGTCATCACTCCAACCCCACGCTCTTCACGCTCTGGCAAGGCCCGACTCACGACACCCTTGCCCAGCTCAAGGGATGCCATCCCAGTCGGAGCTTTGAACGCACCCTCGGGGAACACGTCAAGGCTACTCTTGCCCTGCTCATTGCCCCGTGTCGGCTCAGTAAAGACAGGTCCAGTCGCTGAAGCTGTGCCGGAAGGATGCCGCTTGTTCCTTATCCTCTCCTCCCAAATGTCGTCAAACCCTAGCCCATCCTCTCTGTCCTGTTCAGGGGTTCCCCACTGCTCTGCCTCTTGATTTAGGCCCACGTCTTTACCCTCTCCATCGCTCGCCAATGCCAAACTTGGTTTAGTAAACTTCCAGTCGTCCCACCTCGGCCGATCGTGTCGGTGTCGAAAAGCATGTGGGGGTCTCCTTTCTTCAGCGGCCTCACCACTCAGTGCAGAGTGTGAGCCAATCTCCTTGCCCCGCGCAGATGCCGGCCTCCAGCGCTCGCCAGGGTGAAGTCTGCGTGGCTGGAGGAGGTTTGATCTTGCCTCCGTGTTGGAATAGGCACCATCCCTGGTACCAAGCGCCCGAGGGCCCAGGGCAAGCCCAGGTTCCTTCGTCTGCTTCTTCTCCGCCTGATCTGACAGACTCTCGTTCACCAACGCTTCCATCCTGTTCACAATTCTTGCTGCCTCAGGGCTGACGCCTTGGCCCACCTCCCTCCTCACCATCTCCACGATTACACGCGTCTCCTTGTCGCAGGCGACCCCATTTAAGCGCATTTCCTCCAACGCATCCAGAGTAGCGCGCAGGTTTCTAAACCCTTCCCAGCGCGTGCGCAGGAGCTCGTTATATGCAGGCGTAGTACAGCCAAATGCGTAGCTGGTGACACTGAGCCCCCGTGCATAAGCGAACACGGCGAGCGCCAGTGAAGGATCGCCATATTTGACTCGGAGCAGACGCATAAGTCCCGCGAGAAGGATCGGGTACGCCTCCGGGGCCGTATGGTCTTCTGGGCGAGGGAAGATTTCATCCAGCGCGTAACGCAAGAGCTCTAGGTCCGTCGCACACAGGTGCAGTTGCTCGTTCTTCCTATCCACTTCCTCCGCCGTCTTCTTGGAAAGCGCCTGCTCCGCCCTCATTCGTTGGTTGAATGAGGTGAGCGATCCGTACAGCCTATCGAGATCAGATGGTTGGTCAAGAAAGCGCATGTTGGATGGGGTAGTTGGCTTCAGCGCCAGTCCGGGAGGAGCGGTAAATGCATAGTCGGCGGATTCGGTCCTTCCCGATGGGCGTGGAGTGGGAGAAAAAAGGCGACTTCCCCCAGGCTGGTCTTGGTCTCCCGGCAACTCTTCCATCGGTGGTAGCTCGGGTACCATGCCGTCCTCACCCTCCTCTTCATAGTCCGATCTCAACCCCCTCCTGGACTCCTTATCCTCCTTCATGGCCGAAAACAGCAGATCGAACATATCGTGAAAACTGGCCTTCTCTCTGTTGGTAAGGGTCTGTCTCTGCCTCTTCCTGCTTTGTTCCCAGCGGTGGGCAAGACGCTCGCCGGCCGGTGACGGAAGGACGGTGGGCATGGGTGCGGAGGAGATAAGATCGGACCAATCTTTGAATAGATCGGTATGAGCTATGGGCCGGGAGGGGTCGCTCTGGCTCTGATCCTGCTCGACACTCTCCTTCTCTGGTTCTGCATCTTTCCTCGCACCTGCACCGGAATTCCTGAGTACGGCGCTCGTTGCGAATCCTCTGCGATTGGATCTCAGACCGGAGAAGAAGCCCGTCGGCTGGCTTGTAAAGAATCCACTTCCTTTGTGGATTCCCTCGCCTCTTCTTTTAGCCCATACTGCTGCAGAGGCGGCGTGATTGCGGGGCGAGGGGAGGACGAGTGCGGCAGTGGGACGATCTGCACTTGCAGGAGATGCCGAGGGGATGAGGGAAGCCCAGGCTGGATTTGAGCTCTTTGAGGTTGAAGGTGAGAGGGGAGCTGGCGCGTCTGTGACAGTTGCTTGCGTGGTTGGCTGAGCTTGAGGAAGCGGTGTTGATTGTGTTGATTGTTGCGGTTGTTGTGAATTTGGCCAGGGGAATATCGGCGCAGCTGAACAGATAATTTCAGCATGCTCATTCCATTGCAAGGGGAAATGCGCACAGATTGAGAATGACCTCACGTGACAGGCATGCCCTACTGTCCTCTTTGGACTCAACATCATGTCTCGCCTTTCCACCGACGCTCAACCTGAGCTCGATATGGAAAAATCAAGCACCAAAGCAAGGAAATCACAACTCTAACGGGAGCATCCAATAAGGGCTTCTATTTGCATCCGTTCCGAGGCTCCCGAGAGAACATCCCGCGACATTTAGTTCCCGGTCCAGGCTTACTCGGGGATAGGGCCGGAGATGCGAGATCGATGAAGTGGCACGGGGAGGCCATGAACACTTTGATTCACTGCCAGTTGCTGCGATCGAGAGCAGCATAAAATGGGGTTGAGAGGGCAAGGGGAAAGAAAGTTGGCTTTCCTTGCTCTCCTTCAGGAGATGCCAACTTGTGGAGGGTCCATCGTTGCTTTTTTCAAAACAGGATTGTGGAGCGAAATTGGCCTAAATTATTTGCGAATGATCAGGGTCATATTGTCACTTAAAGTGTCCGTGTGGGGCCACTGCACTCAACCGACTTTGAATAAATTACTCCGGAATGGCAGTGTGCCCCAGGTGTCCACGATTTAAATGGAGGCAATGGTCAGAAGTTTCAAGAGAAATCAGGATTAAGGTCATTTCAATACACGAAGCAGACTTGTCAGTGCATTCTAGGGTCTGACCTAACTGGGGTACTTAAAGACCCTCGTCAGATTATCCTAGGTTGATCCAGAAAACATCAGCTAAAGATAATTCGAAGAGAATGATGATTTCAGTTTCTCTGCATTGGTGCTGGTCACCCGTTCATGCGCCTGTTCTTCCACTTTCTACCGAAGTGTCTATATATTAACATCTCATCGGGATTGATTGAATTGTCGAATATGTGAAACGTACACCGCTGCCCCGCGATGAGACGCGATTCAATTGCTATATTTTTAATACTGACTAATCGCATAGCGGTCATATTTCTCCTACTCCTAAAAGCTGGACGTTTTGGCCCAGCGGGAAATTTTGTACAACACTGAGAAATACGAAAGGGGAAACATAGTAGAACATGGGTCGGAGTTGGAGGTGGTATGAACAGATGGGCAGGCGTGGGGGGATAAGAAGAAAGATAGGACTACGATAACACGTGCGAAGGAGCAAAGTAGAAGGGGTAAATAGAACAAAGAACGAGATTTTTCGCTCCGAGCACTTCGAGCAAAATCATACGCACAGCATGACGGCATTTCGTATACACCGCATCTTCAATGCTGTATCCGCTTCTCCCAATAAGCAGCAAACAATTCATAGTACGACGCATTTCGTGTATGCAAGGTCGTGATGGGGCCGCTTTCACCAAGTATGCTAACCAATCAGTTCAGATCTTGCCAGGCTCTCGCGCCTCCTTAGGCGACATGCTCGTGCCCGGCAGGAGTGAAAAAATACCCATAGGCGTGAGCCCGTCGCTCGTCCCACGCGGCACGCTCGTCATGCGCTCCGTGTCCGGCTCCCCGTCCCCCCCTTCATTCACAACACGGGTGTTGACAACCAGCGGGTCCGGACGCGCCCCACTCTCCACATGGTCTCCATTTACGCTGTTTCCAGCGCCATTTATACCGTGGCCAACACCGGTGCCAGGACCGGCTCCGGTAATGTCAGGAAGTGGAATATGCTCCCAAGACTTAAGGATCTCCTTCGCCCGACTGCGGAATTTGAACTCATCATCGCTCCGAATGTAGTCCATTTTGGTGATACCCATTAGGACCTTTTGAAGCTTCGTTTCCTGCGATGCGGGATGCGTCAGTAGTGTTGAGAGAGGCAAAATAAGTATGAGTGAGGCAAGTGAAGATGACTTACACGGAGAAGTGCGCCGGTGATCTCTGTGTTGTTCCGCAGCTCCTCTAAAACGCGCGACGCATCTGGGTATTTCTAGACAGTAGATGAGTAAATCTCCTTGCTAGTTCGCACAGCGCGGCACCTACCAACTCGTTTGGCCTATCCGTGCTCAGGAACGTCTTCTGCAGCAACCACCTGGTCTTGAGCAACTTGTTCTTTCTCTCCTGAGCTGCCTCCGCCGCGGCAGTGCGAGGCGACATTGGAGGAGGTATATCGGGTTCCGCGCTCTCATTCTCATACTTCACGTTATCGGTCGGTGTTTCCTCAGCCGCTGAGAAACTGTGAATCTTGCGCCTCCGCTTGGCCATAAATTCTCCATCGGGGTAACGCTCGCCGCGCCTGCGTTTCCTGTGCGGTTGTGGCTCATTGCTGTCCTCCCGATGGGGACCCCGCTTGCGCTTCCCGTGCACTGGTTTGGATATGGGCTCCTTGGGCTTAGGTTTCTCTGCAGGAGGATTTCAACAGCATGAGCTCTACAACGCAGAAGCCTGAGGACAGGGGACTTGCCAGGCATCTCAATGCGGTATAGGTCTACAACATCTTCAGGTGTGGGGTTGTTGGCCTCCCACTCTGTGGTGTCCCGTGCAATCTTGTATCCTTCAAGTAACGGACCGAAGTTGGCGCGCGTCTCACGGACAAACTTTGCCACGCGCTCCTGATCGAGGCGTACAATTTCGGTGTGCCGAACCCACCAGCTTTCCCGCCCCTGTCAGTACCATTCGGTCTGGTGCAGGAGCACTGGTACTTACTAATCACCGTCAGGATAGAAACGGATCGGATAGACGTCCGGATCATCCCGATCTGGGCATGCCAGAGCAATCTGCATGGGGAGTTTATGAGGGTCCGCAATCTGAAGAGTTTCCACCGTCAGAATTGTTTTTGGGAGTCGTCATGATGACTCACTTTCCCGGGCCAAGGAGGGTGTCCTTGAAGTTTGCCTAGCACTAACTCACCGACTTCATACCTGTCTGGACCGAGAAGATGAGCATGAGAACGAAGGTGACGACTGGGCTGCAAGTCTTCGTAGTTGTCCTGCTCGTCAGGGTTGGTAGCCTCCTCGTCACCGTCATCTATAGTGGCATCACCATCTTCAGGTGGAGAATCCTCTTTCGCTTTAGCCTTCTCATCATGCTCGATATCCGTGGCTCTGCGAGCTTCCACCATCACTCTAAGCGATGCGTTGAAGGTTGTTCGCCATTTGGCTGGGTTCTGAGCAATTTTGAAAGCATCCTTGGCACCTTGATCCGTGGACAGGCTTTCAAGCCGTTTGAGTAGCGTAACGTCAGTGTGACGCAGATCGGAGTCCGTGAACCATTCACTGTACAAATCCGCCGTCAGGTTACCTATCCGTGATGGTAATCCGCAAAAAAAGGCAGTTGACACTTACAAGCCACCGTGGGGGTAGACTGCAACAAGGTGGTGCGGTACCTGGCCCTCTGGCCTAAGAACACGAACAATGGGCGGCGCAACATCGGCGTTGAATATCTGCAAGACCAGTCAGTGATGAGTCATCGTCAGCTGCGTGTCAGATTTACCTCCCCCGGCAGGTATGACTTGCTGTCCAGTTGGAATGTCAGGACGACCTCGCCAACGTTGAAGGTGTCCTGCATCCATGGCGGGTGAGTAGGTGTACTCTAATTTATCTACAGGATGCGATAGGGGGCTCACTTGGTCGTCAGTATGATGAACTCCATTCACCACGGCAGGTAGTTCAGACTGCGGAAGCTTGTTCTCTATGACAAATACCTTGCCCTTTAGCGTACAGCCAAGGCCAAACTTGTCACGTTCACTTCTTTCTGTTGAGGTGAACGATGCTTGAATATCTTCCTCCGGTATCTGGTCAAGTATTCGCCTTGAGCGCCTCTTGTAATACTTGCGGACTTTCTTCCCAGCTAGGACACGGTTTCTGCCAAGGAGCGCCGCGAAAGGTTCAACTAACGCTGCGTCCATAACTAAATCACCGTTCTCGGTAATTCTTGTGCCTGCTGAGCAAAGCAGGCTGCAAAGCTGGATCGCAATTTCCTGTGGATCATCTGGGTTGTCTACGAAACCGGAAAAGGAAACGTCATCTTCTGCGATCATCTCAGGTGCCATGTTCAGCACGGTCTACCTCATCAAGAGAAGAAGACGCGAAGCATGCTTACCTTGTCGAGGTGGTGGTCCATGATGAAGTTGAATGGGATGACGAGTGCCGCGGGGGCTAAGGGACACGGGTATGCGGAGGGGGTGAGAAGTCAAAAGGGGGGAGCGCAGTGGCGCATGCATAGGCGCATATGAATGCCGAAAAGTCGAGAAATTAGAGACCAGTCCGAGTCCGCGACGGCATCAAATCCATCACGTGTTGAGACGCGTTTGCCTCCGTAACAATGTTGTTGAATATTCTCCTCCTTCGTGTTACCACTTAGCCCTCCGCCAACTTACCAGGCATCGCCCCGATCACATCTAGGCTGTGCGATTGAACCCTTAGGTACACAATGGCTGCGTTCGATGCACTGACCAATCTTATACAAACAATACATGATCCACCCCAAACCTTTGTCCTTCAGTCCCACGTTTCAAACCATTCTTGGCAGGTCAAGCTCTTTCTGATCGCCTCTGAGCTAAAATGCTTTGCCTCCGCTAAGCATGAGGAGATTTCTAGAGACCGTAAACTAGTGACTACTCTCAGCATCGATCAGATGGGCGCTGCTGATTTAAATTAGGTTGCAGGAGACAAAGAAGCGGCATTCAATGATTGGAAGACATTGGCGGAGTTCATCCGTTCAAAGATTCTTGGGGGGGACTTGCATGTAGCGAAGTGGGGAACATCGAAGGTTGAAGTCAGTGGGATAGTACCGTTTCGCCGCTTTCTGAACACTGACAGAGGCAGATCATCATTGACCCTGGTCGTCAATCATCCTTGACAATCCCGGTGACGGCGCTAGATGAAAGCGATGCAACGGGCATGGTGACTGACTTGATCTATCTGGTGCATTCACTAATCCCATCACAAAACTCAATTCTAAACGGTACCAGGTGGCCAATGACGCCAGGGAGAACCGTCGTTGTGCCTTGATACCGCCCTGCCATCCTTTGGAGGATGTCGAAACACCCTCACCATCCACCTTGAGAATTGTTAAATCGATAAGAGATCAACCTCAAATCGATAACCCATCGACAGATGAAGTTCAGCGTGCGGCTTCCAGACTCTTATCGTATCATAGAACTGACTGTTTTTGAAGAGAAAGAGCTGACTAAGTTGAAGGTGCGTTCACTATGTTCTGTCTGCCGCTGCATGTAGTATAAACGAGTAAGAAAGAAGGCGGAACTGGCTGCGAAAGAAGATGAGCTTGCCCAAGAGAAGGCCAGGCCGAAAGTAGAAAACACCCGTGAGTACATTGTGATAATTCGGGATTCGGTGGCATTTAAATTGGGAACCTGCAGGACCTGTTGCAGTCCCACCCAAAGCCGTAGCAGGCGCCTCTACTGCGATGCCGGGTCATGCGAGGCGGGTAATCAAACGTGCGCAATTTTCGGATGAAGAGGAGGACGAGGAACCCCCGAAGGGAAAGCTTCCCGCCCCTGCCAGCAAGGGGATTGGGAAGAATCCCGATGTTGCCAGCGATGCAGCCGAGAAAGGGAAACAGAGGAAGCACCCTCCGCCGCATGGGACTAGGATCGTAAAGCGAGCGGAATTTGAGGATGACAATGACGAGGATGAGGAGGCGGCGTTAGCGATGCAACAAAAACCCTCTTCCTCGGCTCGTGCCGCAGCTCAAGCGGCTCCAACCAGTCAGACCAAGACAAAGCCGAAGTCTCCACCTCCACCTCGGAAGCGGGTTATCCGCAGAGCGGATTTTGAGGACGATGAAGACGAAGATGAAGACGTGCCTATTGTCAAGAAGAGGAGGAATTAAATATATCAGACGGGACGTTTAGATTGTTCTAATCTAAGCTCTATGTTGCACGATCTTCCATCCTTTTAATGTGTATGCTCTACAAATGATCCAGTGCTCCACTCTTCACGCCGTCCCACTTTTTTCTCTCCCTTAACTTCTCCCCTAAAGGAGCGAACTCCCTATCGATAGCCCACTCCACCGCCTGCTCCACGTTATCCAGCATGCGTGTGGGCCAATGTACAGGCGGACCATCGTCTGCGCTGTTATACACGCCTGTGTTGACAAGGATAGACTCCCAGCCGTGAGCATTGGCGCCGGCGATGTCGGATTCGGGGTTATCTGGTGCATCAATCAATTTTTTGCTGACATTACACCATTAAGACCAGTCGCGTACCTCCTACCATGTACCTACAAAAAGGACATCAGTAGATAACCTTTGACCACCTGATCACAGATACTGGACTTACACCCGGGGCATCTCTTCCCCCACCTCAATGCCTGCCTGATCCATCAAAAACCCCTCTGCGAACTCATACGTCGCTCTGGTTGGCTTTCCAAACTGCTCGTACTCGAGCTTCTTCCCTGTGCTAGCCTGGAACCGGATTCATAATATTCAGGATCAAATGATCAAGGAATCGACTTACGCGATAAGCCGCCGTCAGCGCAGTCCTGAATGCCCCTTGTCCAAAGCGGCTACGCGGGTAATCAGAGCGCCACAGCAGATCGGGATTGCAGAACACGATCTTGGGTGGGGGATGCGTAGGATGGGTGAGGAGATCGACAAGCAGCTGGATCTCTAGTGCCCCTATTCATGTTATCTCAGGTAGATCAGTGACGAGATTGGGCACATTGCATACAGTTGCGTGGATCATGCACTGTGAGAACAAATTTTGGATGTGGTGGGTGTGGCTACGAGCGACGGTGAGAACAAAGGTGCCAGAAGGAAAGACGAGGCATACTTTGGCTATCTCATTCTCCGCATCGTTGAGCTTGTAGAAAGGCCATATCCTGCAAAATATTAGTAAGTCCTCTGGAAAAATATCGCTCATGATTACCTTGAATCTGTCGCAAGATAATCAATTGGTAGGGACGGTTGCGTGTACCCGTATCTGCACATCTTCAATCTGAACCACGATTCCACCAAGAAGGGACGCGCACAAACCCTTCTGCAATCTTGCGACATGTATCCAGTTCCCCACCGAGTATCAGCACTGGCTCATGACCGTACTTTTTCGCGATGGGCCGAAGAATTGTGTGGGCTTGGATTAATTGATGTTCTGAAATCTGGGAAGGGGAAAGTGAGTAACGGCGATCAGAGTTAGCTCGGAAAATTAAGAGACGGACATTGACACCGAGAACTTCTGACAGGGAGCGTGCACGCTCTGCTTCTGGTTTCCCTCCACCGTTTGTCAGCTACGGTCGACGTCAGATCTGATGGTAAGCGGGGAGTCAGAGAGTATTGGAGCTGACAAGGATGTACGGTATCTTTCTGAGTCACGTTGAATCCAGGGACTGAATATAGATAAAATTCACGTACAGTCCACGGCTATTCTCGCCTTCTACCATCCGAAGGGCTTTCTTGGCGCAGGGAATAGCCTCATGACCGTGTAGTAAGACCCCGTCCTTGATAGCGATGAGCTGTCAGAATCTGCGAGAACTTGGACTGAGCAGGAAATACACACTACATCAAAGCAAAATGCCAGTGAAGACTTTTTAAGCGCTTGTGCTACATCCACTTGTCAGCAGCTGTCGAGAAAATAAAGGGACTAGCCTCAGACTTTGAAGACCGCGAGCTAAACCACTGGTGATGTGTGAGATCCGTACCCATCGCTGTCCAAGGAGGTTCATGACTCCGATCCACCGAGCCCGAGCCTGGGCATTTTTTTTCACAATTGCTCAATAACAGGCAACAGGGAGATCGGCTTACAAAAAAAGTGCGACTGGTTGATAATTACCGCTCAAGAATGAATGGACTGAGGTTCAGTGATGGTTCGGTCCAGGGTCCGATGACACCGTCAAACCTTCGGGGATATCAGTTGTCCGGGAGCAAACACTTTTCTATAGAAAGTCAGAGGGGACAGCTCTATGGTGGACCTTCGCAGACAGCTCATTAAGGGTCCTTCAGGCCATGAAAGGGTCTGACACTGGTGGGGACATGCCCTCAGAATAGAGATGAAAAATGCTGTGCTCATTTGTCTCCGAATTCCATGAAGTGAGAAGCACAATATTTGCTTCCACGGAAGTACATCAGGCTCTGTGGATTCAAATGAAGGAAACATTGTCTCTGCAGAAGAAAGCGGAAGCAAAACGGAAGCAAAGAGCTTGCCTCCATGGGTGTATTCATTTGCTTTCAGTCAATGGAAGCAAAGTATTTGCTCCCATTGCACAGCTCAAATGCAGACCTTTGACTTCTCCCACAATCCCCTCCCACATTTGCTCCCACAGTCCCCCTTGCTCACAGCCACAAAAATCAAAAAAAAGTTCAGGATCAAATACAAATATAGGTGTCAAACATACCAATTATGCCTGAAATTAAGTGAACCCTGACATATACCCTCAGACTGGTATAGAAACAAGAGCAGCCTTCCATGGTATTTGCCATCAGTAAACCCCATTAAATGCCCTATGGATAAGGCACTTTGGAGGGCCACTCCAAATACTTCTGATTTAAGTAAAATTAGCTATGCAATTACCAAGACTGCTATTAAGCAGCCTTTCTTGACTGTAATTTCCTTGTATGCATCTTCCTAAATGACTTTGGCCAGGCTGACAAGGGTATAGAGCAAAGCAGTTTGATCAAGGAAGAGCAATAAGAGTCCAGGGAGCTTTCCAAACAGGTAGCCTAAGGTTTAGATATAAATCAGTGCAAGATTGGTTCTCTCAAAGTCTTAGTCACCTTCAAACAAAATAAAGGAAGGCTCAACATAACAAAAACATGCAAAGGGACATGAGAATAGAGTCTATTGCCCCAGAAAGCAGCCCAGAAAAAGTGGTACAAGAACCTGATTTTGCATCAAATTTTCCACCTTGTTCTATCACCCTCAAATTAAGATATTCTATTTTTATTAGTCAACATAAATTTTCTACTTCTTATCTACCCAGAAATCTAATTTTCATACACATTGGTTGAGAATTAAGTGAAAATTCCTTTTCAACAATTAGTGTAATCAGCCCAAGGAGCCCCCCAAGACCCTGAGGGTCTGGTGTTCTCCCATAACACTTTTCCCATAAAATCAAGTTTTTGTTCAAAAATTGTTATTAATTGATTATGCATTTTTTTGCAGTAAATATGTTTAGATTAGAAACTCCCCTGCCTAAAAGTTTGATTTCATAATAATAATTGTGTGTACATTCAAAGTTGCACACATTACTATGTGCAATCCAAGGGATACTTATGATTTAAGGAAATTATGGAGGCAAATTGCCTCTGAGGCATTACCAACTGCTCCATGCATACCCTGGGCAAGATCAGGACAAGCCATGTGTTAGCAGTAGCAGAATAATCAATGTTTTGCATGTCTGCCCCCCTGTTAGGGCAACACAGGCTGACTAAGTCTGCTCACCTAAGAGTGCCAAGAGTCTAAGCAGGCAACAAGGAAGTGGAGTAGACCTGATGACTAAGACCTATCTACAGTATAGGTACCTGTGGATGATCCTAAGAGACCAAGTCTGAAGAGACAGTCCCCAGGCAGAGTAGGCCTTATATTTATACCTCTGTGGTGGAACCTGCTAGAACATCTTGCTTACTCAGCCTAGTCAGGTGATCATCATATGACCAAGGATGAGGTCATATGAGGTCATGCACAGCCATGCACAGCAGGTCACCTGACCATCCAATCCTTCCAGCAGGTTCCAGCACATGCCAAGGTATAGCTACTTCCATGTCATAAAGGCTTAGTCATGTCTCTTGACCAAGCAATGAGCTGGTGCCCTGACAGGAACACTGTTTCAGCAAAGGTGGCGCTGATAAAACACCACACTGGG